ATCTTAATTGACTGAGAGAAAGTCTGTGAATTTTACTGCTGTAAATTGGCAAAACTAGGCGGAAGCCATAAGAAAGCCTTTAAAGATCAGTAATATTGGGTAATATCCATTGCTGTAGGAAATATGTTCAGCATGCCAGCACAGAACAAAGTAACAGAATATGACTTGTTTTTCTATATTTGCATCAGTTTGTTCTCTGCTTGGAAAAATATAGTTCATAGATCCCCTTTGGTGATTTGGAGGAAGTATTATTTCATGTGGTGTTTTTTGCTGTTTACAGTACAGTACTTCATGCAGTTCCTTTCATTAATACAATGATTTTAGTGTGTGTTTATGCTTCAGCTCCTTATGGTCCTGTTCTCAGTTATGAATTAATAAGATGCTGGCAGCATACATAATAATATTTGATATTATTATATTTGTACCTCTGGGAATTATGATGTATATTTGCACTTCCACAACTTTAAAACTAGATATGAATGGTTTAATATGTAAATTTTAAGGAAGAGATTGCTTTGAAAACTTTTCATTTAGGGTCTACATCTATTTCCAAACACAATGGCCAAAATACTGTAAGTAGATTCACTGTCTTATGCACTACAGGTACATTGATCACCATACATCACATCAAAACACCAAAAACAAAATGCTTGACTTATAACAATCATCTTCTCTACTGACCTCAAACTTATGCCTATCAAGCTTAAACCTCAGGCACCTCAGGTATTATTTCACATTGTGTCTTACTTTCAAATGTTGTGCCAGCCCATAGCTGTTTCTACACTTTCAGGAGCCCTCTGGGGGATCTTCCTTCATCTCACAGTTGACTTCCTCACATAGATGCCTCTGCAGCTAGAGCTCTTTCAACTTGAGAAACCTCAGGCAGTTTCTCTTCTTTGGGTTTTAAGGGATCATCCTAAATTCTAACCATTCGCCCCTCTTTGTGACAAGCCAGTCTTGGCTTCCTTTAGACAATTCTCACCACTTTCTTCCATTCTTACTCAACATGAGCTTTCAGACTTCCTCAGTCACTTAAGCTCTGCCTCTGGGTACACTATTGCACATCTTCTTGACTTTGCAGGCTGCCTGACCTTGGAACACCTCTACACCACAATCTTAACAAAGATCCCAAATGCACAGCTGTTTGAGGCTGTGAGGCGAATTGCTTGCCACTTCCTACCAAATGAATCTTCTTGGATTCCTCTGTAACATTTTGAAAACTGTACCCTTCTGTCATCGTCAGTTTTCTAAGAAGTTCCTCTTGGAGTCAAATCTGTCCTCATCCACTCAGTTCTATATCTGTTGTCCATTTATCCATACATTTTCTAACCGCTTTATCCAAAGCAGGGTCAAGGTGGAGTAGGAGCTTATCCAAGCAAGCAACAGGCACAAGGCTGGATAGACTCTGGATAGGAAACCAATCCATTGCAGGGCACAGACAGACACAAACACACATACACTCACACCAGGACCAATTAACCTACTGTATCAGTATGTCTTTGGAAAGAGGGAGGAAAGCAGAGCGCCTGGAGGAAACCCAATGTGAACACGGGGAGAACATACAAACTCCAGGCAGTTAGCAGCCCAGGAATTCAACCTAGGGCCCCAGCACTGCAAGGCAGCAGATAGATACTGTAGATACTTTATTAATCCCGTGAGGGAAATTGCAGTGCAACAGCAGTTTAACACAGACAACACAGCAACAATGTAAGGAATAATACAATAATAATACAATACATACAATACTATCAGTACAGTGAGAAGTGCACTAAGAAGAGTTACTCACAGTCCAGAACACACAAAGAACAAAACAGGACAGAACAGTACACAAAAAAAGTCATATTGCACAATATAAATGTATTGCACATGCTATGACTGTAATTCTGTGCTCCCCTATTTCTGTTGTACACATGATAAACAAAGGTGTTCTAAATTTCTGCATATACTTAACCTTCCCATCTCACTTGGGTTTCTATCTGTATTCAATTTTTAATATACAAACTCCTATATTCAATACGTCTGCTATTCAATCCGCCCTTTTCACAAATGTTTTAAAACCTTTCCAGCACCAGAAACCACACCTTTTGTGGTTCTTGAACTGCAGTACAGTATCTCTTCCTCTCTTTGTGCTGCATTACAAATATGTTCTCCAGAGTCTTTCTGAATATTCAGTACTTTAAATCCACAAACCACAAAAGGTTCTTTCAAAACTCCCTATTTCTACTCCCAGTTATTCTAATCTCAAACAGCCATCCCTTCTGACCTATTACTCTTTGACAAATTGACAACGAATGACTTGTCACTGGTTTCCTACACCTCTCCTCAAAGTGCTAACTAACCCAGATTCAGCACAAAAATGGTTTCCAGACATTTCATAGATCAAGGTAGAGCTCTTCACTGTGCATTAAAGAATCCCAATTGCCACGTTTAGTCATTGAGCACTGCTCATCGGAGGTTATGAATTTTATATCAAATCCAAGCCCAGTCATCATTAAGCATGCTTCCCATGTTCCACAATTAAGGATTCTGCATCTTTTACATGGATTTTATTAATTCCCCTTCTTCAACCTCATGCAACTATTATTCCTCGGAGCAGCTCTTTCCAAACGATCCCTCTCTCTTCGATATGGAAGTGCTACTAAAGCTTTCTTCTGAACTTTCATTTTCTTCTTATACTGTACATTTTGTCCGCTAACTATAGTTTAATTTACCTTAGTTTTGTTATATAGCAAACTTACAAAGTTTATGGGATCTCTCATGTTTCTTTGTGGGGTTCCAACAACCCTGTTGGATGAGTTGTTGTTCTATTCAGCCAGGTGAATTACCCCAATGTTTTTGATGAAGAGAGTATTTTTCTGAAAATCTAATGCCATTAGTTTTCAGTTTCATTAAAATAAATCCTACCTTTAGTTTACTCAGAAAAATGGCTCTTGTTAACAACTTTCAAGCAATTATAACTCCAATCCAAAACAGGTTTTGCAATTGTTTCTGTTTTTTTTTTGCCAGAGAGAAACACATTCTCAATGTTTATAATGTTTTTAAAGATTGAATGTTTACTTATGCTACATTTATTTATCTTCACACTGTAAAGAATTACACTGCAGCGTCTGTGAAAGATTAAAATACCCTGAAAAAATAACATGCAAATAAGCTTACTTATTGTTCTTAAGCTGGAACATTAAAAAATGTTTTACAAAGTCTATATTTGTCCTTTTAGAGCTATATACCGACAAAAAATATGTAAAATCATATCTAAACATGCTGTACTGCCAATTGTATTCATCTGTTAAAAAACTCATGCAGATCATCTTTCGGATATCCAAATGTCACAGCTGAGTAACACATCCTCCTCTAGAATCATATTGCAGGAATTGCAGGGATGAACACTTTTACTCCCTAAAGCCAAAGACACTGTGCATCTTCAAATGAAAAATCCAGGATGTGTTTGTCCAGAAGATATTTTTTATCTTTTCAGGCTAAATTTAACTAAACTACATTTTAATAGCATTTTATATTTCATATATTTTTTTTTACTATGAAAATGCTCTTTCAATATCACTGTAATACAAATTGCAAAATGCAGCAGTAGTTTTCAGCTGTAGACTTCCAACGTAAGGTGTATATTCCCATTCAGGAGGGGTAACAATGTGGCATTTATCTTGAAACACATACAGAATTGTCTGAATGTTATTCTCATAAAGATGCAGCAGTTTTCCAAAATATTATTTTTAGCTCTTTTTTTAGAATTGAGTTAGTTCATGGCCATTTTCAAATTGTATGACTTTTGTGTAAGGAATGAAAATAAGATGTCACTCAGTGGTGAGATCAATGAAAATGACTATATCCCAGACATATATATATATATCTATCTATCTGGGCCAAACATACAGTTTTCCCAAATCATGACATGTACTGTACGTAATTTACTTGTACACAGATTAACATGTGATTCTCATTAGCCATTACATTTTTTCAGATACTTCATGCTCTGCTGCATCTTTCCTTCCTTAGAAACAATATAGGTCATTTTGCTGGAAAGATCTGTCTAATCTGTAATTAAAAAGTGTGTTATCATATTTCATGGCAGTCAAATCAGATTTATGATTTGATCCGATGTAAGCAGGTTTTCCAGTTCTCTTACTTACAATTACCTACATCTGTATGGGTACCTTTAAACTACTTAATTCCTAACTGAACTATGCATATTACTTTACCGTATATAAGATATAAAATTACATTCACAACTATAACACAAGACATGGAATTGCAATGCTCAGGAGTTTGACCAATGCATTGTATACATTTCAATGCTATGTGATAGTTAAATAAACATTGACTAAAGATTTTGAAAGCTGGATCTGTGAGGTAACTACTGTACCAATACAATACAGCCATAGAAAAGCCCTTTCACATTTTTTCCTGAACTGCTTCCAAAGTACACCCCAGAGTACCAAACATCCCTTAAGAAGGATATCAGGATGATTTTCTTGGCTACTGCAAGAGAATAGAAAAAATAATATCTGGTATATTAGGTGAAAATAAAAAAATATTTATCAAAAAGCTATATATAAAACATATATTGTATTGGTATTGACCTGAAGAAAGCATATCGGATGTTAAGCATGTTCAGTCGTGGATGAAATAACAGTGGGTGAATCACAACCTGTATACTGTATAAAGTGTTTTTGGATCCTTTGCAATGTATTAAATCTGTACGATGCAAGGAATTATTATTAACCGCTTACTCTGGATAAATAATATTTTATAGTGGTTTTAATTCAGCACATATAAAGCTCTGTCAAAGGTACCATTGGGTTTCTCTGCTCATATTTGGCATGACCATTACCTCTGTGTGTAAGAACACATTTTATAGCGAGAATGCGATAGCTAGGTGGGGCAGTGAACGCAGTGAACTTTATAAGCCATTGTTCCCTGTTGTTCTATGTATCTTGTTTTAACCAACCAGGCTGACATTAATCCAGTTGTTTTGCCTCTTACAGCCCAGCTTAAATGCACTGGAGTCACTTGTCCAAGTCATCCCATTCCAGACTGTCCCAAAGATTCCGCTCTCACCAAGAGCTACACTCCCCCTGCCGGGTGCTGTCCGACAGTGCCACCCCTCTGCACCTGTAATTTCCGGGCATGCCAGAAGCAGGAGTGCCCTGCTGGGCAACAGCAGCTGTTGGTCAGGAAAGCGAGAGGAATCCCTGGAGACTGTTGTGATGTATATGAATGCCAGAAAGGTAAACCTTGCATTTCTTAAAGCAGATCATACATAGAGGTTCAACAAAAATAGAACACACATTCCCAGCTCTGCATTGTGTATTTAAATTTGTATTAAATTCTTGATACGGACATCCCCCTCTCCCCAATTTGTAATTTCTATTTAGTTTAAAGGGTTTGCAATGCATTTTTTGTTATAATAGGAATAAGACTGCTCAGAATGATAATTATCGCCTCCCCTTGCATAAGTAGTGAAGCATTATTTATACTGCCATACTGGAATTATTGGAGGTGAAAGGTATTTAATCCATACCAGATGGCATTTGTAAAGAATTAGGATGGCTGTGCTGTATTCCACATTTTGTGCATAAGTTAAATCTCACACAAAAGAAAAAAACAACATGTTGAACAGTTTCAAGGTGCTTATGCCCATGACTCTTGGTGGGACGAATTCAAGATTTCTTTCAGCTGTTTTCTGCTTATTTTTGCAGCTTGTTTGTGCTATTAGCTGAACATTAAAACACAAGATTCTGTTGTGTGATGTGTTTTCACACAGTGATGAGAAACAGCAGCTGGCAGCTTGCCATTTGAGGTGCCATCGGCAGTGGCAGAGTCAGAAATTGTGAAGAAGTCTCAAAAGAGATTTGAGAAATGTCTTAGACACTTAGAACCGTCTTAGATCCAAAACCCATTTCGTTGGGCTTATCATGATTCAGAAATGTGTTCCAAATGTAATCTTTGACTTGAATTTTCCTTGATGTGACTGTAAAAGAGTTCAGATGTTTAAGCAGTGGAACTTTTGTTTTGAGGCTGTTAAACAAAACATAATATTGTAAAAAAAAAACTCCTTGGTTTTCCAGAAGGGAGTTGGCTTGGCATTGACACTGTGGTCATGGCAAATATGCTGTGTTTTACCAACAGAACAAATTCACATTATACCCTTTATTTTCATAAATGTGTGCTGTGTCCTGGAATTAATGGATTTAATGAGGTCAGTGAACATAAAACTGCTTAGGCTATGAATGTGTTCAACAGAAGTGCAGTGTCAAAAAGTTCCTGTCTGGTCACACGTCATAAAGGGAGAGGTTCAACAGTTCATTGATGGGAATGCTTTTAATGTTTTTCCGTCTGAAAGGTGGAATATAATTCTGTTAATCATGTTGCACTGAACAAATTGTGAATGCAAGGAAAGGGATCAGAGTTTTGATAACAAATGTCTGCTGCTCTGTGCTTGGCTGTGCTTGATCCCCTTTGTGTTTCCCTTTCTTTCAATTAGGACTGCATGAATGCACCAACATCAAAAAGCAGGGAGGTGCTGGCTCTTGTGCAAAAAAAGAGACATAGTAGATACGTTGGTAACAATCTGATTGTTTTAAATGAATATGGACCTTTTTCATAAGTCAATATGTAAAGAATCATGTCCAACAATGACCAGTTCCCCTGTGTGGTTAAAATAGCAGGCTGTTGCTATGAGAGATCAAACACTGATACTGTACATTTGCATTACTAGTACTATGTACTAGTGATTTCATCCAAGTGAGTTCATCCAAGTGAATCCAAGAGGAATTGAACCCAGGTTGGCCAGCAAGATTGTTACCAATCTGACGAAACTCCATGTTTTCGTGCAAGTTAGTGATCAACCACTTACAGTATATGCATTAAGCCTCTCTGGATCATTACAGGGTTATGCAGATTATAATGCCCACTGTTCAGGCGCTTTTTGTCCATATCAAACATGCAGAGCCACACTATTTATCTGTGTGTGTGTAGGAGGGTAATCCTCAACCAGGACTTAATCTTGGATTGCTGGCATTCCAGGCAGCTTCATCACAAAAAGGTCTGGACCACCTGGCCAGATTGTAATTGGCTGTTACATTTACCCAAGCTGCCTGGAAGCTTCCATGTTGCCTAATATACAGGCACCTATAAAATTGCAGACATAAGCAATTAGTCAGCCTTCTGTTAGAAGTGTTCAGTAACAAAACAGTATATGTGGTTATTATGCTTAATATATGAGTAAATGGCTGGCTAGCAAGCTTGCAGTTCTTATATCTTCATCTCTGCATTTACAGTATATGTAATCAATTAACTCTTTTTTATTTTTTTAATTAATAAAATGAAAAGTACTGAGCTACACTGGCTACACTAATCCAATAGTTAATAGTTTGCTTTAGTGGATTCGAGAAAGGAAACCTGTTACGATCCTCTGTATAGATCATTTTCCTGCTAATAGAGTCTTTTTTGGTTGAGACAGGAAATGATTGGCAAGTTTAGTTAAATAGTTAAACAGTTTGACTGGTTTTCAGGTAACTTCTGTAAGGAAGATAGTTACAACCTTTACTGTCAAGATGCACAGATAAGATGAGAAGTAAAAAAACAGAACAGCATCAAGTCTTATAAGATGCACAGTGCAAATCTATCTTTCTTTCTCCATTGCTAAATACAAATGCAGCTTTCCAGTAAAACAAAGAGATAAAAGCCAGTTGTAATGTCCTTTTTCAAGAAAAAGTACTCTTAAACAACTGATTCCATTCAATTGATTTTAAAACACTGAAGTTAACACACTACTATGTATTCAGAAAGCACAGTATGACTTCATTAATGCTTTATTCTGTAATAGCATCGTTTAAAAAGCTTTAAAAGATATCACAGACATTGTTCGTTAACTCCTTGACTTTTAATTCCCTGCTTTATTTCCTGGGCATAAATGATTGAAACCTTTGGTTAATGTTTCTTGCTGTATCTTTTGATTTCAGTCTGGCTATTGTTTCTGTGGCACACAAGAAAGAAAGGAGCGAGTCTAAAATTCTTTCAACTTGGCTTGCCCACCTGCTTTGTATTACAATGCAGAGTAAGTCCAGTAGAACTGAGAGGTCATTCTTACATTATAAGTCTACAGCTGCAATCTGGTATACAGATGCTCCAATTAGTTTGGCTCCTTCCATGAGCTCCATTTCAAACCCCAATACATCACCCTGTCTGCTTATTTTTATGGCCAATTAAGTCACAAATAACTCAAAAAACAATGTGGTTTAACTTTTTTTGTCTTTTACTCAATATTTATCTTTGACATAGTGTGAAATGTGTTACATGAGCTATTGATTTCCTGAATTGAAGGGTTATAAAAGTCCTTTTTGATAATAAAAGGTTCACTAAGAATTTAGACTGATAGTAGTTTGCTATGGACAAATGTTTGAAGGCTCTTTGGAAACATGGAAAGAACGTTATCTTTGTAACAACTGAGACATATTGCTTAAACTATAAAAATAAAAATTAGTTTGTGCATTGTAAATTATAAATGTTCAAAGTAACATGAAGTAGTGTATTTTTCTCTTTCTGAAAACTGTCATTGTTTATGCCCCTATAAATTTCCCCATATAGACTTAGGTGGAAATCATAGAAATCTTATTTTCCGGATTTTCAAAACAAATGTTGGACTCATTGACAGCTGGCTCAAGATCTGTGCTTTATAAGCTCTCTGTAACTTCCTCCTATAAACAGAAAGCTGTTTATTTCTGATAAGGGTCATGACAATGTGGAACTTATCGTGAAAGTACAGGGCTCAAAGCAGGGCTACACCCTGGACAGGATGCCAGTCAATTGCAGGGACACTACATAAGCACAGTGTTGATTTATAGACACTAGCTACCCTAGCCAGCATGCCTTTTTGGAAGTGGGCATAAACCTAAGCACCCAACCAAAACCCAGAGAAACATGGAGAGAATATACAATTTTCACACTTAAGGCACCACTGTCCAGAGTTGAACCCAAGAGCTCTAAGACAGCAGAACTGACTGTCACACACCATGCCACCCACTTTCTTAAAAATGTATATCATTTTAAATACTTTTAGAGGTGGAGTAGGAATTCAAAATTTGGGTAAATGAGATTCTGTAGGAAAACTGAGAAACAAGGTAAGACTTGACCTCTACAAGTCGCAGTGTCTGTGGACTAGCAGATGCAGTCTGTCAGCACTCTGTAATGATCTGTGCAGTAGGCATTGTTCTTAGCTTATCTCTCATACTCAAGACTTACCCCTGAGACAGCGGACGTTTCCGGTACTTTTGGAGGCTTTACCCTGTGTGTCTGCTGCCTACACATGGCTTTCCTGTCAAGAGATCTGTTTCATCAATGTTGCCTTTATGCTGCCCTAGTTAGAAAGACTAGAAATATCTCTGTACTATTCTTTTTTACTGCTTTTGTTTTTACTACTTTATTATTCTTTCCCAAAGGTCATGGCAGAATTGAAAACCTCCATCCTAAGTTCAGTGGTCTTATCAGCAATTTACATTTTATTTTTTCCACAATTAAAACAAAAGAACAATTATTAGAAGTAATTATGTTATTGTTAGCATTTATACATTGCACGCTCTTTAATTAAAACTCTTCCGTTAGAACATCAAGTCTTTAACAATGTTATGCTTTGATTTTGTTATAAAGAGGGGGAGCACTGTCATAGTTTTGATATCAGTTTAATATCACTAAATATCTCTGTTTTTTAATATCATTAGGGTTTTGAACAGTACACATTGTGATTATTGTGTACTACTTAATACAGCACACAAACCTCAGTTGAATTTGTTCCAACCAACACGTCTTCGTTATTCATTCTTTCCCCTCTTTGACAGTTTCCCCAAAGTGTGTTCACGATGGGAAGGAGTTCTCGGATGGGGAAGTGTACAGAATGGATACTTGCTGGCTCTGTCAATGTCGAGGAGGAATATCTTTCTGCTCCAAAGCAGAATGTGCAGGACTGGACTGTGAGAACTTCTACATTCCAGAGGGAGAGTGCTGCCCAGTATGCCTAGGTAAAGATTGCAATTGTAAAAAATGCAATGGTATTTTCTCTGTTGATTTTTTTAATGAAAATTTCCCTTTTACCAACCTAGATATTTTCAGGTGGATACATCTTGGATACAGCTTTATGATACAGCTTTATGACAAACAAGAATGCATTTACCTAACTAATTCAGTTGTTTAGAAACTCACCAGGCTGTACATTTTCAGCCCAGTTGTCCTTGTGAGGACAAAGTTAATAAATACTGGTCTTTTTATTCATAGATATCTTTGAGGTGTAGTCTCAGAAACCTTTAGACATGGGTATAAGTAGTCCATGCTGAGAAATGTGTTGAAACTAGTCATTTAAATTAAGCAGGGGGTCCACAGATTGAAATGCCAATGCCTTATGCTACAGTATTTGAGAACAAAATTGCTCCAAATATAGCATGAGTTGTAGTATAGATATTAGCTCATTGTTGATATTTTGCACCTATAATTTTAAAAGTCTGTAACAGAAATTATGTTTTTTGTAAATATAAACTGACTTGATGAGGATGTTTATCGGGTAGTTAGTTATGTTGGAATTTCACTTACCCTGACTGGCTGTAGGACAGGGAGACTGGAACTCCAATGTAGAGTGAGGAATTAACTAAGGGGAAACTGCAAAGGTGCAGATCGAGTAGAGGAGGGATGCTTAAGGCAAAATGTGAAAAGAGAGGGATTTGTGTATGATATATACAGTATATATTTTCTGAAAGAAACATCTGGAATGATTATGATGCTGAACAGTTGGCCAAAAGTGATTTGGTTGTTTTCATACCTCCCAAACTTTAAGAATTTCTATAAAGTGTGTATAATACAAGGCTTCTTCTCTCTTTTGGGCTTCTTTATGCATTGAAAATCTAAAGTTAAATATGTAAATATGTATCTGCACTTCTCTAATTTTTATTGTGGTGGTGTCAAGGCACAGAGAATAATACTTAAAAACATAGGCAATCTTTTGTATCTCTGGATTGTAAAATTAAATACCTTTCTTTTAAATAAAATGAAAAAAAATACCAGAATATCAAGATTTTTTAAATTCTCTTGGACATCTTTAAAAGTCTGAAAAACAGGTGTGTGGCTTCCATACTTCCTGTTATTCTCCCTGGTTTTATGGGACCTTATTCTCATGAGGGTTTTGCGAGGGCTTGAGTTTTAATTTAACATTAAAAGTAGTTTTACATATGTCTTAAAAACTCCAAAGGACAAAGTAAGGCTTTAGAAAAAAAGACTTAAAAGTCCAGATTTAATCATTTACTGCTCTGCCAAACTCAGATTCAAAACCCACTCTTTGACGGCAGCTCTCCATCGTCCATCAAGTGGTGCCTTTGGAATTTGCTACTGGAGAATGGGTTTAGGTTTTGATTTCTTTAGAAACCAAAAGTAAAGAACCTCAGTGCAGTATAGTAGTCAAGACCCAATCACAGGCCCTCTGTTAGCATTTATTGTGGCCATTTCCTTGGCACAAGACATATAAAACATGTATTATTAGCTTAGTCTTCCTTTCTGCTTCAGGTATTCTGTTATTATTAATGTGAAACCTTACAACATCTTGCATCATAGATAAATATTAATGACCTAAAATCTACCTGATTAGTAGATTACTGCTAGCATCATTTTGTTTGTGATTTTAAATTACAGAAAAATGTCTTGAATTTTTTAAAGATGCACTATTTATATTTTTCTGTGAAATCCCAGAACATTAGGGCAATACCAAATTATTCTTTTTGGCTTTTATTTTTTTTCTCCTTAACTAGCAACATCAGTTACTATATTCCTATAGCGACAGTATTGTAGGTGTAAGATTCTGTCATTAATGTGTAACAAGAATTCCATTCACTGTATTTACATGGCTCCTCCAGCTCTGTAGCTCAGAGAAAGAATTCATAAATGACATCATTGCCTTTTAAAAATAAGCAGCACATTTCAAACAGTGTGAGCCTTCATGAAGGAATCTGGCACTTCCATTTTTAGCCATATCTTGCTCAGCCAGTTTTTTGCGGAGACTTTCTTATGCAGCTTCTACAAACCAATTTTAGGTTTGGAAAATATGTACTGTACATAACTTAGTTACCATATGTAAAAGGTGTAGGCTCTTCCAGTGCCTCCACGTTTTATGAGCTGAGTTGAACTACAGTTCTTGGGGAAGTAGCTTTGGGTTTTATTTCTTGTCACCTCTAACCTCTCATTGGAAGGTGAGGCCCCAATCTATGGATTTGGGCCACTTGGGGTTTTGTAAATATCTGAGAAGTCAGATTTCATTGTGAGGCACACCAGTCCTAGCAAATCAGACCCACATGGAAAGAAATACAACAAGCAGTTCTGGTATAGTCAAGGAGAAAATTAACCGAGTTCAGGCACATTGTAGTAACATATCAAAATGTTTCTTTAAAAGCTCCAACACATTAATAACATTAATAAAAATAATAATACTTGCTTACAATTATAAAGCACTTTTCTGGACACTATTAAAAGCGCTTTATAGGTAGTGGGGACTCCCCTTCACCACCACCAATGTGCAGCCCCACCTGGATGATATATCAGCTATAGTGCGCCAGAACACTCACCACACATCAGCTATCAGTGGGGAGGAGAACAGAGTGATGAAACCAATTTATAGACAGTTATTATTAGGAAGCCATGATTGGTAAAGGACAATGGGAAATTTGGCCAGGATGCCAGGGTAACACCCCTACTCTTTTCTAAAAAACAGAAAGGGATTTTTAATGATCACACAGAATCAGATTCTCGGTTTTACATCTTATTTGAAGGAGGGGGCCTTTTTTACAGTGTTGTGTCCATGTCACTATACTGGGGCATTAGGACCCACATAGACCACAGGGTGAGCACCCTCTACTGGCTCCACTAACACCTCTTCCAGCAGCTCTTAGCTTTCCCAGGAGGTCTCCCATCCAAGTACTGGCCTGACTCAAACCTGCTTAGCTTCAGTGGGTTGCCTGTTGTGAGTTCCAGGGTGTTATACTGTAACTGTTATCTAAATGTGGTTAAGTAAATATACATCCTGTGAACAACATGATCAATTTGGAGTGGCCTAAATATAGTGTACAACACATAAAAAAAACTGAACCCCTTTAAACTCATCTTGTCTGAACCGGGCTTGATATCTCTGCTTTTAAGATGTGGAGCTGCTGTCTCTGGGAAACACGGATGCCAGCTGCTGGGTGAACAACAAGCTGCGACAACACGAGGAGCAGTGGAAAGAAGATGACTGCACCTTCTGCCAGTGTGTGAACGGAGATCCCCACTGCACCGCCATGGCCTGCAAGCAGACCTGCCAGAGCCCAGTCAAAATCCCTGGGGAGTGCTGCCCTTTCTGTGAAGGTACAGTGCGACAGCGTGATACTTTTTAAAGAACAGTGAGCACTAGGCCTCACCTGCTGCTTTGCTGAATTTGACTTGATTTCCATCTTCCTCTATTTTGTTCCTTAGTTGTTGAAATATGACTGTACAGATTTAGCTTCAAGCAGAAAGTTATTTAATGACTAGGGCTAGGCATCGACTGTACAAGCACACAATAGTGTTGGCTAATTTTCCTGGATGTTTAATTTGAAATATTGTGGCTTGTATCTTATTTTAACTCTAATCTCCCAATCGTATCAGACACAATATCAACCTATTATTGCATCTCTATTATGCATTAAAGTGCATCTTGATCTCTTCTAATTTCTTGTACTACGTTGGTCTCTTTTCCAAATATACCTCCAGCCTACAAAATAGCGTTACACTCCAGAACTATGTGTTTGCAATAAATTATATATTTTTTATAAAAAGAAAATAAAGCTCATCTAATTGATTCACCTTTTTCATGTGTCATCAGGTGGTTTACAGTTTCCAACATCCCATTTTGAATAACTCAATAGCTTTATTATTTAAAAATGATTTAATGGGAAATACATGTTTATTTCTGAGAATGGCCAGAATGTCTTATTTCTGTGAAGTTACTTCGATAATGAATACGATTATTATATGCAGCTACTGTACCTCAGTTTTCAAGCAGATGAGTTTTGCTTCGCCTGTTATTCTCCAAATGTATCTTCTGTGGTTGATGCCAAAAGGTTTGTTTTTTGTCTCATCGGTCCACAGCACTTTCCTAATAGTTTCCGTTTTACTAAGGTGTTGTTTTGCATACTTCAGATACTTGACTTTTTTTGAAGAGTGATCTGTTGGTTCTGCTATGTAGATCTTCCAGCAGTTGTATCAAAGATATTTCTGGGTTTTCCCTGACTTAATTGAAAGGCTAACGAGTCAATCAAGTTTACAGGCCTTTGAAAAACACACAAAAAAGTAAAGAATCAATTGGAAGGATGTCCAAACCTTAGCACATGCATATTCCCTTTTTTATTTTTTTCAATGTTATAATCAGCAAATAAATAGTAATTTTGCATTAATATTACTAGAATATTAATAGAAAGGTTTTCGGTTTAACATTGTATCATGTAGAGGTTGTGTCACCTTCTGTTCACTTAGAAATTTTTAGAAACACAGTTAAACCAGGGGTGCCTACTGTATATGTTTACACAACTGTATCAGGCAATTCTATTGCTGGCTACAAATATCAAATTCATATGCTAACCCAAAATAAATCAATACAATTTTATTTTTTAAACACAGTTTAGATTAAAGGATGCCATGCTTAAGTAGAACACTCAATTATAATTATCTTTTGTTTTGATACTCTAAAATATGGGTTTAATTTTGGGCTCCACTTTTAATATAATGAAATCAGATCTCCTGGAAGTGGTGTTGGCTTCTGTAGTATCCTAGCAACATATCAAATTACAGTACAATCACTGGCATCAAACACTGCAACAAACTAAGCAGGCTTCTCTACTCCACTAGGTTAAGCAGAGCTCTTAGAAATGTGTATGAATATCAGACTAAATGAATCACATGGAGTTGATGTAAAAATTTCTATAAATATGGGCCCAAATATCCACAGTATAGATATCCACAATTCTGGAAGATTCCCCCATTCCAGCCCAGCTCTAATTAGCATTTATTTTTACATTAACACACACAATGACTGCAATGAAAGAAACCCCAATGACAAATGAATAACTCTCATCACAATCTCATTTGTTGGGATAGGAGTAGGCTCCAAATTTCAAGCCTTTGTAAAATATGTTGCCATCTCTTGATCAGGTGATTTTGTCTTCTTAGGTAAATAGCTAATCATTTGAAGATTATTGCCATGTTCAAGTAAAAACATATTTCCAAAGCAGTTTTACACTTAAGCATAAAATATGAAATCTAGTACCTGATGTCATAATCACATTATATCTAAAGAAAAATTGAGTAAAAATTTAATCATCCTTGCCATATTGATTATACAAATATAAAACATGTATTTACTGGTTCAACAATATTTTAATCTACCATAAAGTCTTCCTTTGAATTCTTAAGCCTTGATCATGGCTATTTCTTTTTACTTGATCATGTTATCTTTTATTTGTTGTACTTATTTTGCTGAAGACCAGGCTCCACGCAGTGGGCAAAAGAGCCTCACATGTAGCATTGCATCTGTGGAACATACAGTACTACTGAAATCCATAAAAGACACTAAAACTATCAACATTTTAAAAATTTGTTTTAATGCTTAACTTTCAGTGTAGCTTTTATTGTAGAATTTTATTTTGTTCTTGGTCTATTGGCCAGTTTATAGTGCTGTTTTTACATTTACATGTTATATGTATTACACAATCTCTATTGTGTTGAAATTTTGGATATTTGACTAAAAGATCTTAAAGCATAAATTAGTAATATTAAGCTAGTTTGTCCTACTTGTAGTTCTGTTCCTGAGCAAAAAAAGTATGTTTTTTAACATTCACCACTTCTCATTTCGATGAGCATGCATTTGTCTTGCAACCATAGTTTATGAAAATAGACTGCTTCAGTAGAAAATTATACTGTTTCTGTCCTTTTTTTACTTCACAGAGCCAACTTATGAAACCGTGAGTCCAATTTTATGTCCAAAATTGGAGAACTGCTTCCTTTCCGAGAGAGACTGTCCATATGGCTTTGTGCAAGACAGAAATGGATGCCTACTATGCCAGTGCCTAACAAGTATGTTTTAATAGTTTTAAGATTTCTGTTCATCTTCATACAAAGTATAATGTTATGGTTTTGTCTGTAATTGCTTAGTGTATTTTTATGTGTTGTATTTTAGATGATCTTCCCATCACAACATTGCTTACTTGTGTTATGACTCCAAGCGTCTAGGGGTAAAGGGGTGTAACATTTAGGATAGTTTTTGGATGCAGGTGGGTTCTGGTGAGGTACTTAGGAAGCGTGATAACAAATGTTGGTGCCAAAAGTGATTATTTTAATGTGAATAAGTGACTGGTACATAATAAGACACAATAACACACAGGGGTAGGGAACTAGAGTGGTGCCAAATAAAAGAAAACAACAATCAAAATAGAGCTGGCTAAGAAAGTGAGGGAAGCTGACCTAACTACAAAAGAAAACCCAAAACACTCGGTCTTCAGCATCTTCAAACGCCCTAGCTAACCTTCACTGACTACCCAAAACCATACAAGACAAAAGCCACTCTCCCATACTAAACTAGTATTACTAATACAAAAATCAACTACGTGTGCAAAAAGTTACCCAACAACCTAAACAAACCCAATACACAAGAGTTCACACAAATACACAATTGAACTACAAATACCAAAGGGAAAACGAGAGTTGACACAAGTAACTGGGTACGAACACAGAGGTTGATACAATACATCTCCACAAGGTAATGGCAAAACAAGGATAAACACACAAGAAAACAAAGTACAAAGAGACGAACACAAACCAACAAAGCCGAAGCTATACAAAAACACACACACACACACACGAAGCGAAATGAAGCCAAAACCGAAGCAAAAACCAAAACCAAAAGCGAAGCGAAACCGAAGCTAAGCCGAGCAGAAACTAAGTAAAAAAAAAGGCCCCTTCCTTCTGAAAACCTCCAACTAATATACTGAATAATCTGCGTTCTGATTGACCGAGAGTTAATTGAAGATGATGTCACACAGAAACAATGATGTAATGATGGACCAATGGGGGAGGGAGAACAATCAAGGTCAGGAAGTGTGGAACAGCAACAAAACACATATGGACCACACACTGGGATGTAACACTTGTATTTTAATTCATTGCATTAAGCCTGTAAGTTCTTATTAATATCATAAAAATAACCATGGTAGTGTCTTATAAATGTATCAATGTACAGTATGTCTTGTACTGTACCTCTCACTAATCACTTAACATTCATTTGTGAATGTACTGCAATTTCAGAACATGGGCAGTTAGGTGGTATGGATGGTTAGAACTGCAGACTTGGGACAGCTCTTGGGTACAGTGTTAGATTCTAGACTGGGATGTCTTTTTTGTAGAATTTGCTTGTTCTCCTAGGTTTTTGCCAGCCTGGTTGTCGTCACATTCCAGCTATGCTAATTGGTGTTTCTAACTTGTCACCATGTTCTTGTGTGTGCCCTGTAATGGACTATTGTTCCATAAATAGTGTAATCCTGTTTTACACTATAAGCTTCCAGGATAAGCTAAAGATTGCTGAAACACTTATCAAGAATAAGTGGTTTTCAGATAATGGATGGGTGGATGGGTTTTCAGAAAACTGTGAAATCTAAGTGATGTGAGTACTGATCTATCTTCTTGTTTGTGTCACTATCTCTGGGTCTTATAGTACAGTATCTTCTACCTTTTTCCACCTGGGCTCTTGATAGCATCATTAAACATGCGTTTCTCATTTCTTAAACTGCTGGTAATTTAAAGAGGCTGCGATTATTGTGAATCTGCCATCCAAATTGCATACTTCTCCAGAGTATCTAATTCTTCTTTGCATTTCTTGGTCTGTTTCTCTTCTGTCTTTAAGTCCATCAGTCTAAAAGTGACTTTATTTTTGTTTTCAGACGACTCCTGTCCAGATCTTGGGACACACTGCTCTCTGCAGTGTCCTTTTGGCTTTGAAAAGGATATCTATGGATGTGAAGTGTGTGAATGCACCACTCTGACACCAAAGTGCCGTCCAGTGTCTTGCAGTAAGACTTGCCCTCATGGATATGTGTAAGTCCTGCGATCCCTCTGTGACATATTTTTCTCACACTTGTGTTCCTCAGTTCCAGTCCTGAAGTTTCACAGTCCTATAGACTTTAGAAGCCAGCTTAGAAATTTATTTTGCTTTAGTTTCCTTAAAGTGAATAATTAGTTTAATTAAGAATTCACCTGTGGCCTCAAAGATTGGACCTGAGTAGATTTTTTTATTGGCATTTTATAGGTAATAAATATATTGGTCAGTTGGTCAGAGGTATTTTAATTTTAGAATTATACAGTTTTTAATACTGTATTTTGTTTCTAAATCGGATGCAGTACATTTTTGAGGTTCTGCTGATAATGTTCTTCATAGCATGTATCCTTAAATATCCTGAAAATAACCATGTTGTTTGGGGTTCTTTTTGTTTTCCGTTTGGGTGAATGAGTTTTTTTAGTTTACAATTGTGTTGACATTTTTCTCATTCAGATATTTTAGACAACAAATATTAAAATAATACAAAAGAACATTTGTTACGGAGCATTTTCACAGATGGCACAAGCATATTTTCAAAATGACCATAAATATTTTTCATGGGATATTTTGGAGGGTATGCAAAGTTGTGATTTAGTTGTGTTTAATAATAAGTCCTGCATGATTTGGCTTCATTTCAGCATAAATTCTTATATATTTGCCTTGCCAACAAAAACAGTGAATGAAAACATTGTGACTGATTCTGAATTTGCCCAACTCATTTCTAAAATATATTGGAAAATTGAGAGATGCTTTACAGTACTAAACTGAGAAGTGCCAAGGTAGCAATAAAAAAGCACTCAGAATGTACAAAATAATATAAGCAAATAAGCCATGAAATTATAGGATAGAAACCACAATTTAAAACACAGTTTTACAGCAATTTTCTGTTCTCATAGAAAAAGTGCACTCACAATTGAGCTGCATTAGCATTATATTCATTTTTTATGATGTGTAAAAAGAGTAGACTTAGTGGATGTAAACATTTTAGATTAATCTATACTTAAGATCAAACAGAAAGACAACAGAAGTAATCTGTTGCTTTGTGTGCCCACTTCACAAAGATACTGCACTTTGGTCCCTGTAATAAAAAAAAAAACTGCTTAATCCCTATACTTTAATCAGGCATCTGGAAGCTTTCTGCTTCTCGATGAGCATCACTTTTATTTTTTCAAATCATAGAAGGCAATCGCAGTGCACTAAATGATCAAAAACTCTCACAGAAATAACAGGTTTTGTGAAATGTATACAAAATGATATTGTTAATATCTTAACCATCCACATGAGGCACACAGTCAGCTTTAGTAAGTACAACCTAGCAAGACAAAACACTTCAAATTCAAAAAGAAAATCTGAGGTATTTATTTTTCTGAATCCTGAAAGCCTGTAGCAAACAGACTATATACAGTATATATGTAGCGAACTATGCAGTTTAGTAACTTCAGTTAATATTCCTTTAAGTATTTCCCCTTGAATGGTCTTTGGTTGATGGATATTGCACAAAGCTCCTTATCTCATTGAGGTTAATGCGTTAGTTCAGCAAAACAGCATCCATATTTAATCTTATAGGAATGTGTTTTTCAAAATCTTTAATGCCAATAGTGTCTGACATGTCCAGATATTATTTAATACCTTACAGACCTATTTCATATACTGTAGGCTCTATCACAAGCTATATATTTACCTCCAAACAATAACACATGCTCTGTTATTACACAGTTTGAATTTCATCAATCACTAAATAATATACATTGATTAAATTGAATCACCCCAAAGTCAATTCCAATTGCAAATGTATCACAGTTAAATTGGGGGGTAGAGAGGGTGTAATGAAGTCTGAAATCTGTAAGTCTGGCAAAAACTTGTGTCATAGAGATGTAATTGTGACCAATTCAGTAATACAAAGAAATAAATAAATGAGATGTTGTAGCCAGTGCTTAATATGAGGATGTATGAAGGCCACTTAACCATGACATGTGCATAACACTTAAAAATCAAAGTAGCACACTTTCATGACGTTTTATAAGCACCACTGTTGGTAACATAATAACAATGTAACTTAAAATGTTTTTAATTAGTAGTTTCAAAAACCACAATCATATGCTATTAGGTCTAGTGTATATTTTCATACATTTCTACTCTGATGAACCTATCAAGGCCTGTACTGTTTTGAATCTGACTGAAAGACCTACCACTTACCTGTACTATATATGTTATATTTTGGTGATGTGCCTGGTCTGAGCCCATGAGCAACCCTGATCAAATGCTGGCAGATGTAGTACACAGCTACAGTATATTTAAAGTGGTAAAATGTATACCTACATTAATATTTGTAAAGGACCTAGTCTGTTTATACAGGTATTCTATATGGTTCACAGCTTCTATTAGAAAGCAAGAATCAAAGAATGTTTTTTATGACAGTTTTCCCTACACATCAAGTTAAATATTATTCAGTTTGATAGGATCAACATTCTGTGCCGCCATTCAGAAGCTACAGTACAGTATATAGCAAAGCTAGCAACCAGAACTACAGTTCCTAAAAGTTTTAGTTAAACGGGACTTTGGGTTTTCTGGACTTGCAATACCATACATCGTTTATGTGCAAACCAGATCTTTAGGTCACTATTTGCATTTATACTGAATATGCCAAGTTCTGTTGGTGCCTTAACATGATTAATTAATATCTGTTGAAACATTCAGTATGGTGGGAGCACACAATATTATGTTTACTTGAGAAGGAAACAAGAATATTTAATTACCTCTGGTAAATAACTTTCTTTCATATACATTTTTCATCATTTCTGCACTTTCCATTCAGGTTGTGGTTCACAATAATAGAATGCATGTATAACGATAGATTTTACCCTTCATCGAAGACCTTGAAAGTCTATGCAAATAATTAATTAAGACTGCAGTGATGAATGTTAAGAAAATAGTTTGACTTTTCCAAAACCAATTTAAGTTAAAACAGTATACAGTATTAGCTACTGTAAATTCAGCTAATCTGATGTTCATAAATACAGGTTTTCACAGCAAACCTTTAAGATTAATTACAGGAGCATTTCTCTCCTAAACTAATTTTCTGATTGCTTTTTTACTTATTTACAAAGTTTATTTTATGGAATCTCTCATTTTCACCATCTTTATTCACAAATAAAGTGAGAGAGGTAAAGTATTTTTAGTGAGGATCAGACTGAAGGATTTGGTCATGGTATTGAATCTGTTGAAATGTTGGCACATGTTTGCATATAAACTCTTCCGTACAGCACACTGGAGTGTCCTAAGACTTTTTGGATTGTAAATGATTTTATTGACATTTCAAAGTGTTTCTGGTTGTACATACTGTATCATAGAAATGGTGCTAGATGAATTGAAGATACAAGTCACTTTACAAGGTTTTCAGTTCTTGTAGCTCATGTCAGTTAAAGAAACAGCTTTTTTCCACTCTTTTTTCTTCTCTTAAATTGTTCCCTGACTCCTTAAACAGCTTTCTGGCTACAGGTATCTGTCAGACTTTTTTATCACTCTTCTGTATGATTAGTCACAGAACCACCCTCTTGCCAGTACATAAATTCATTATTTAGCAATTAGCTATGAGGTCATACTGTACTTAATGGGAAGCATGTCTGTTTCTATGATGATCACCTGCTGTTAAACATGCAATGTACTGTACTGTAGCTCAGTCTTTACTGTTTACCTCTTTTCAAGTTTTTCTTGTCCTATATGAACATAAGGTTGTATTGTCATTGGTGCACTAAAGAATTCAGGGAGGCAAGCAACAAACTTGCTTGAATTCTTTTATTATTGCTTTGATTTTATGTACTTTTGCAGTCAAAAATTAATGACATTTGACAGGAATATAAAAGCCTATGAGAAGATGTAGAATGAAAGAAATAAAAAAGCATCTCGCTCTGGATTTCTGACAAACCTTGATACATTTTGGAAACTGCTGTTCTCTGAACCCGAACGTTTCTAACACAAGCTCTGGAAGGATAACAGCAACCAGGTGTTCCCTCACCTCATCTACTCTAACTTGTCAGCCTGTCCTGTTCTGTTCGCATTCATCTTTCTGCATCCCTCCTCCAATCCACCCAATTGGCTCCCCAGTGGTGGCTGTGAATGTGATGTGATGTGATCTAAATTGTGATGTTTACTAGAGGTTTGTAAGGTATGGTGTTTCCAGAGGCATAGACAAATGAGCAGCGGTTGTCACCCCACCTAAATATGGCTTTGCCACCCCATTTTAGGTATTAACTAAAATCCCATATTGTCTTAAATGTACTAATAAAAGAAAATGGGAATGTAGAAAACAATTACAATGCATCTTAAATGTTTTTAAGAATGTACCATCATTTAGTATATTGTAAATGATTAGCGTCGGCAAATATGTGGCAGATTGCTGTAGATTGTTCCCATGCAAATAAGTGAAAGTTGCACAAGGTTTTGGCTTTGGCTTGCACATCACATCACTTTGTCCACAATGTAAAACAAGAGTTGCAATGTAACTGGTGCAGAGAAGAATGTAGTAGTGCACCCTCTTTTAGAAAATTACCATTTAAAAATGCTACCCCACAAGGTGTTCCTGTAACCCCAAATATAAAATCCTGGTTCCGCCAGGAGGTTTATTTTACTTTTATCAACCTTAATCCTTAATGTAATCTTTAATGGATGCATAGTTTTCCCTGTGTGCCCTTGCCACCATGTAGAACTCAACTGGACAGATGTATATTTTTTATATTAAACTAAATCTAAAAAAAGTTAATATGGTCATTTTTACCATATATAGAAAGAAATCAAATTTGACTTGATAAGATTTGGAACAAGAGAAACAACCCATTACAAAATATTTTTTTCTTGGTTGGATTTTTGAATATGTAAAAATTGAGGTAAAAAAAGTAGGTTGTTTGGATTGAGAGTGGATCACTCATGAAACATCTGGAATAGTTTGTCTTTTGGGGGTCTGTACTTTTGAAGAGACTTAGACCGAGCACAATTGTTTATATATAGTAAGATTTTAATTTAAAAAAGACTATGGGCCAAGTCAAATTTAAGGCAAATGTGCATATATTGAATTCTATTTGTGTCATGAATCAATCAAATTGCCTTGTGGATTCTAAGGACAAATAGCTCTTGAGTACAGACCTAAAAAACAAAGTCACAGTGTATGCCAGCTGTATTCCAATAGAGAATATAACTGAAAATAACTTACAAACTTTCAGCTCTTCAACCTTGGCAGACACCCCGGATGGCAGGAGATAGTTCTTTTTACCTCCCTGGGGAGAGAGGCATGTTGGGAGGTGCAGAAACTCACATAGAGGCCCATCAGACCACCAGGAATCCCTCGACTCACACCTCCTCTCTCTGCCTGATCACTGCATGCTCACAGCTGCAGTTCCCTGTGATGATATCTTGCCGCATGGCCTCACCCAACTGCACCCATGTTGAGACACACTGACTGTGAACAGGAGCAGAAAAACAAAGATACTTCAGTCTGTTATGCTGTGCCATAGCCATTACAATAAAAGTAATAATAGTAGCCTGTGGGAATTATTGTAAACAGATAAATGAAGCAGACAGGTAAAATCAATACCTTTGGCCTGTCCTACAGGTCAGTTATAACTCCGTAAAGAGTATTATCAACAGGAAAACAAAATGGCATTGCCCATGACCTCTGACCTTTCCTAAAGGTAATATTTTATTTTCATAAAGGTAAATTATTTTCATAACCCCTTACAGGATTATGATTATTTTGTAACACATAACAAAATAACACATATGTATCGTATCAAAAATATCCTTGACTTTGTTCTTTGACCACTCCTTAAGGTCAAATGCACCATAATTCTTTGTGGAGTGTAGATACAGCCATGGTTTCTTTAGAACATACAGTATATTGGAATAAATGTATACTAGTGTTTATGTAGAGACAACAGATACCATCAGGGATATATTCAGGAACAAAAATAGGAATTCTCATGTGCTTTCATTTAATTTTTATGACAAGGGATGATAGGTTTATTTTTATCGTTAGATATTTCTGGTTTAATTTTCTTATTTGTATAGTATTTAATTTTTAATACTTGAGTTTTGAATGCTTGTAATCCTTTTTAAGTATTGTCATGAGTTCACTACAGGGCATCACATGTTTCATGGGCCTGCTTTTATCTGAACCCTTCAAAGAGAACTAATATATTTTCTAAAAACAGAACCATATGTCTTGTGTATACCTGGAATGTCCATCTGGGCCCATAGTACTGTAATTTGCTTCTGATTCTTTACTGCTAAGGTGCAATTTGAATGACATTAAGCACAATTATAAAGAGTCAAAGAAAATAGCAAAATTATTTCTATCCAACCAGTCTAGTTGCTTCCCATATGTAATTGAGAAAGACTATTTCAGAATGGGACAACTTGATTAAAAAACACAAGCAATAAATTAAGCCAGGTTTATTACATTGTGGCAACATGGTGGTACAGTGGTTAGCATTGTTGTTTTGCAGCTCTGGGGTCATGGGTGCAATTCCAGACCTGGAGTGCTATCCCCAAGTTTGTATGGGTTTCCTCCAGGTGCTCTGGTGTCTTCTCACGTTCCAAAGACATACTGTACCTTGACTAGGCCCTAAGTATAAGTGTGTGATTGTCTGTGTTTGTGTGTGTGTCTAAACTGTGATGAGTTGATGCAAGGGTGTAACCTGTCTTGTGCCTGTTGCTTGTTAGGATATGCCCCGACTCCCCCATGACCCTGTACTGGATAAAGCAGTTAGAAGATGGATAGATATGTAGAATATTGGACAGGCCTTTAACTCAGTTATCTTATCATTTTTTTGGTTGACACAGGAGAAACAAGCATGGCTGTGAGATGTGCCGCTGTGTGAAATGTCCTCCATTCACTTGCGACAAAGACTGCAGGGAAGGTTACAAGCAGAATAAGAAAGGATGCTCCATCTGTGTGTGTAAAGGTGACATTTTTATCTGTCCTGTATTTCTCTGTTGGGGGAATCGTGTACAGTATATAGTCAATAGCTCTTTGCTGTTTCGTATCTTTCAAAGACTGTTGAAAACTGGTTCAGTGACTTTCAGAAATAAATTCCAAAGTTATTATACCAGGAAATGGAGTAACATGCTTTCCTGTTGAGTTCATGTTATATTTTGCCAGCAGTTATATCACCCTGCAACCCACAACTAGCAACCAGTGAAGCTAGGCAGCTGTGAGCCTGGCCAGTACCTGGATGGGAGACATCCTGGGAAAGATGAGGCTGCGGCTGGAAGAGGTGTTATTGGGACAAATAGCGAGTGCTTATACCGCAGTCTGTTTGGGTCCTAATGCCTCAGTACAGTGATGGGAACACAATACTATAAAAAAGGCACCTTCCTTCGGATGAAACGTAAAACGAACTTTCCATGGTCAATAAAAATCCCAGGGCATCTCTCAGAAAGAGTAAGGGGTATAACCCTGGTGCCCTGGCCAAATTTCCCCCTGGCCTTTACAAATCATGGCCTCCAAATAATCCCCATCTATAAATTGGCTTCATTTACTCTGTTCTCCTCCCCACTGATAGCTGGTGTGTGGTGAGCGTGCTGGTGCTACGTACATACAGTATGGTTGGTGGTTTTTAAAGAGCTTTGAGTTAGGTATCAAGAAAAGCACTAAATACAGTAAATGTATTAAAATATCATTATTTTAAATTACTGAACACCCACTTATTTTAGATCAAAATCAAAATAAATTTAGTAAGTGAATTAGTAGGTGAATGCAGAATCATTGTTTCATGAGGAAGATTTAGCAGTAGATTACTGCTTTAAATTACTATTACTGTTTTTTATATGTGGTGAACAGCATCAAAATATAAATAGAATATAAAGATCAGTAACGATGACAGGATAATTAAGTTTAAGCCTCTTTGGAGTCCAAAGATACTTTGTGTTGTAAATTTATCTTACAAGTTTATTATCTTACAAGTGTTAAGCGCCTTGCTCTTATTTTTAATCTAAGAGAGGGCTTAAAGAAATGTGTGTAGTGTAGTATTGCTGTATTTTTGTTTCCTTTTCCGAGCAGTTATAATAATTTTAGGCATAGAATATAGTATTAATTTTTAGTAAACTCATAGTGCCATGAATTGTTCAACTTTAATGTTGTATTCAGTCTGATTATTTTACAGTGGACTGCTAAACTTTAGGGAACAAAACATTCTGGGGAGCCACACAGATTTTTCATTCTCATACTACTGTAGGTAGATTTTCAATTTTCATCATTATACTTCGGCAGTACTTTCATGTCAGAATAAAGTAAGAGATTTTGGAACAGGTTTTAAGGTTGCAAAAATTATTTAACATATTAGACACTTCCCTGAGCACTAATAAATATTATCTGGGAAGTAAGCTAACAAAGCAGAAGGAAACGTATACGTGACCTTATATTACATTTTATGTGTTAGAATTGTTTTATTTAATTAGCTGTTATACTATACAAAATGATGCCTCTTGGACACCAATTGTTTTTTTACAGATATTACCACAAATTGTGCTTTTCTGCAAACCCAAGCTATTCTACCAGCCACATAGGGTGAAGTTTAGAAACAACAATCCCGATTCATTGGAAGAAAAGGGTTTTATTGTCCATATCATATAAGAAAAAATATAATTCTCTGTATTCATAAGATTGAAAAAAATCCCATTGTACTGTATAATGTTTTACAGGATAGTTGTCACAATATGGCTTAGAATGACAGTTTTTTGTTCCATCACTCACTGGCTACAGAACCTCTACCAAATCATCTGTTGGACCTTTGCTAACAGAAAGAACACCTTGAACAGGTTGTGTTTCACAAGGTTTAAAGGTAGTTAAACTACATTCCATCCCATTCCTCATCTGTGTTGAGGGCAATGGTGTGTGTGGCCAAGCTGCACATTTCATAGTTCTGATATTCTTTACAGGATAGAGATATGGAGAAGTTAACAAAAACCTACTCTATCAACTTTCCTAAGCAAAGAACACACCATCCAGACAGAAAGTCAATTTGTTTCATCTCCCTCCCGAGTTTACTTGTGCTTAATTTACACTCAGGAATTTTTTCATGATGTGATTTCACTTTATTTATTACAAAGTTCTTCTTTATTGTTGTTGACTAGTAATCTGTGGCAAAAGATCCAACATTTTAACTCTGCCTCTGCAGAGACTAGCCACACCCCCAGCACAACAGTTCCTGCTCCCACAGCGAGCTACTGCCTGACAGCTAACGGACAGCGCTACAAGGAAGGGGAGAGCTGGCACGACGGCTGCCGGGATTGTTACTGCCATGACGCCCGGGAGATGTGCTTGCTGATTACATGCCCAGTGCCCAGCTGTTCACACCCCGTGGTCAGGCCAAACCAGTGCTGCCCAAGCTGTGAAGGTAAGCAGACCAAGCAGTGTTAACCCCTTTGATCGTGTGGATTACACAGAACAAACTATTTTGAAGACGAAGACAGATACAAATTGTCCGTGACTTTCACCAGAAAAAAAAATGGTTCAGTTATTTCGATTTCCTTTAGGTGTCAATCATTTTTGGAGGTCATACAGTACAATAACTTCGGTCCTGATTTGTCATTTTCTAATAAATTGTTTGCACATGCCAATTGCTCTAGCGATATCTTCATGGGGGGAAAGTTTTAACTTTAGGCCTTTTGATAGTGCCAACTTCACTGCAGGCCACTCCTTGAAAACTGAAGAAAATGAAAAAGCTCTTGGAGACACTTACACTACAAATGCTTCTCGTAGAAAGTATAAGACATTTCCCCCAAATATTCTGTTTGACGTAATTCTGAGTTCCAAAATTACTTTTGGTTTACTGGGAGTGCAGCATGGAGACTTCCTGACACACTTGTTGAAAGCTTTCATACACATATTGCCGAAGACCCTCTAAGCTGTTTGTCTGCCCTTCAGATGAGTCGGGCAGTGGGCAGCTGGATGGAGGGGATCTTGTGGTGTGTAGGGCCCCAGGAGGAGAGTTCTATGTGGAAGGAGAGACATGGCAACTGGATGAGTGCACACGCTGCACCTGCAGGAAAGCCCGTGTCTTGTGCGACATCGAAGTCTGCCCTCCTGTGCTCTGCCAGGCCCCTTCCAGAAGCAAGGACTCATGCTGCTACATCTGTCCAGGTAACAAGTGCCGTGTATTTTATTCTGGAAGTGAAATGTTAGCAGTGGGCAATATCCTCTATGATTTATTGACAGTCACAAAGTTCATGTTGCTCTGCTGAATACATTTGTCAGCATGGATACACGCTGTATCCATACTAAGAATAAAATTTGCCTTCTTCCCTTTTCCTCCTCCAACACTGGTATACAGAAACAGCTTAAAACCTGCAACATATTCATGTCAGGGCTGTAGTATATGTGAACATACCATCTTAACATTACAAGTTTTCAAAACGAAAAGCTTTGATGCACTCATATTTTTCAACATATGTTTTTTCTAACTACGATTGATAGACAGCTTTGTGGGACATTTTTATGTATGACATAACCCTATAAACACTCCATACCAGCACATACCAGCTTCACATCAAGTTAAGATCTTACAGTGAAAAACATATGTGCCTCCTTAATCACAAGTTGGCAATGCATGACTCCAGTGGGTGAGAGCTCCTGCACAATCCTATATATAAACACTATCAATTCCTCTTGCTCACATACTGAAATAATGTAAATCAGAAGCTTATGACTACTCATAAAAGGTTAGCTTTTTTCAAAGACTTTTAATCACTTCAGCATTCAATCTTGAAAAAAGCCAAGCCTTTGAAATTTTACCTTCTGTCTACAACATCAAAGCAGTATCTTCAGAAATTTTTGATTATTGAAATGACCATAGCAAAGAGAATTCTAGTGTTAAGGGCATTAAGGAATTTCTCAAAAAAAAGACAAATATATGATCTTTAAAATCATTAATTATTGCATCAGAACTGAAAAGTAATCTTGGTTTTTCAGTGCTTGGAATTTTGAGTACTGGGTGTAGTTACACAATGATCAGAGGCAAATAAAAGCTTCCTCTATATATTGCACCAGTTACAGTCCTTCATTTACTCGACAGGCAAAAGAATGAGACACAAAATGACTGAAGTAAAGCAGAAACAGAAATATAATTCATTCATCATTTCTGACAATTGTGATGGAGTTCTGGCCCATAATCATAGCTAATTAAAGGGGGATTACATTAAGATATACTGTATGTAGGGCACAAGTGGAAGCTGTATAAAAGAACATTTACAGGAAAGAATAGGAGGCACATGTCTACCCAAATTGTCGTGGAAGTATGGCGGAACCTACTCAACCTTATGGCTGAAGCCAACTATCAAATGGGCCAGAAATGCTGACTGATCTCCTCTCATTTGTAACATTTCTTATTATATTATGACATTCACTGGTACCAACTCTCCAGATGTACAGTATATAGAGAAAGTTCATGAAAAGGCCAGCCAGTATTCTGTTAATGTATGTTTTTGAAACACCTTAAGTTTCAGCTCACGAATACCAAAATTCTGTATATAAATGTACAATATAGTACAATATAGGACGCTGTTACTGAGAGATGTCAAAAGAAAATGTGAAAACTCTCCTGGTAGATCTTCTGCTAGGTCTATCATACTTATAATTAGTTCTCAGAATCATTGCATTTATTCAAATGATTAAACTAATGTGTCAGTATGCACTTCTTCTTCATTTTTGTGATTAAAACCTGTGATGCTAAATGAATTATGATAAATCCAGCATTGATGTGGAACTTAATATTCACAGATGACCAGTTGAAGCCCCTGCTTCCTGTGAACAACAGCCAATCTGAATTTTGCACATCCAGTGAGGGGGAGCTTCTCCTGTCTGGATTTTCATGGAAAGACAATCCTTGTACAAGCTGTACCTGTAACAATGGAACCATACAGTGCTTTTCCCAGCAGTGCCCTCCAGCTAACTGCAGAGTTCCTGTCCTGAGGAAAGGTCAATGTTGCCCATACTGTTTAGGTGAGTGCAGCTTTTTAAATGCTGCATTGGAAAATATAGTCTTGGATAGCCTGCCCTTCTGGTTCCTGGCATTTCATGGTTAATTTGGGTTATTCCATACTGAGGAATAAATTTGAAGGGCTTGCTTCTAATAGAAGAAGACACATTTATATTACTGAATCCTCGTACGTATATTAGGACAGTTTTTCTAATTGCAATTCTGCTGAATATAAATATATATTTACATATATATATAGGACTGAACTATATTTTGCTTTTCCTATTGAGAAAATCTCTCTTAACCTTGCAAATGATTCTGGTCATTTTCTGAAAGCTCATACAAAAGCTTCACTATCAGAGAGCAGGACTGAGAAGCTGCGGTTAATCTGAGTTTCTCTGACACTCACAAAACAAGATTACTCACAAAAATGCTGCTGGACACAGACCGCACAGAATGAAAACATTCCCAAAGTGTTCATGCATTCAGCCATGTTTCCTGTCTCCTGCTGAATTGCCTGCTCCCTCAATGTGAGGACATGAAAACAAAGCTCCAGGTCAGCTTTTCCTATAGAGGAAACATTAGTTGAAGCAGCTCATTGTATTTAAACCATTTAGAACCGTTTGATCTTAGCTTTGTTTTGGTATGTGGCACTGGAAAAAAAAAACTGAAAACAAATGGAAGCCCTCTCAGTATTTCCATTTTCATGAAGTCAACAAAAGATCATTAAGAGCTTGATTTAGTTTCCTTGTTTTTGGCCTTCCCACAGCAGTAATGCAAAAATACAGCCCTCAATGCCAGTGTGCAGATGACCTTTACACTTCAAAAGCCAGTTTTGGCAGGGCAATTTAAAATCTTTTAGGTCTTAGGTGTTTTACAATTTTCAACTGGCAAATTTTGGAACTATACAGTATGTGGAACAATTACCTAAAAAGATTGTGTTTTACTCCTCTCTGCATTGCATGTTGACCAGATGTTTATAATTTTGTGTTTAAGATATGACAACGACCATGGTTCCAATAATGCTGTCAACCCAGACACCTAGAGAGAAACCAACATACACAGAGGACAGCAGATGGTGGTTTTCCACAACTCAGCTCCCACCAGTTGTTGCAGTTACAGGTAAAATACCATGTAGACACTTATTCACTGACACTCAAGGTGTTTAAGGGTTGGAGGTTGAAATAATAATAATAATAATAATTGCTTACACTTATGTAGCGCTTTTCTGGACACTCCACTCAAAGCGCTTTACAGGTAATAGGGACTCCCCTCCACCAACACCAAAATGATCCACAAATGCATTTTCTCTGTTCTGATATACAGTAAGTGGTGTCTCGTAAGCAAGACAGCCAACACTACACCATTAATCACTAAAAGTTTGGGATACCCCATTGGCTACTTTTTTTGTAACTTTGGTTTCATACATTATCTCTACTTAACTCACACAAAGTTAAGTAAAAAAACAGATAAGATCTTACCATACATTGATTACTGTTTTTTGGTACAATAATTAGAGATATAACTGTAAAGAGTTGGAGATTATGAGTACTGAAATAACAGAAACAAATGGTTTCAATAAACATTTCACTATATAAACCACTATGCAGGATGTTTAACTGACATTAATACAATACTAGATAAAGAACTGAATTTTGGGAACTGAGATTGTAGAAAGACGTGATTGAAATGAATGGAGGACAGACAGCTGAAATTGCTCTGGGAAGTAATCCATAGATTGGTAAACTTACAAAAGACTACTCTAATAATAAGAGGGTGTCTGCCAAGTAAATAAAGAGAGAATGTTTTTTCACTTAAATAGATTAGGACAGAATAATGTCATAAAAATATTTCTGTTTTTACTACAGTTCTTTCATTTCACTAGTCAGTGTGAGAAATTTGACACAATACAACATGGTTCTGTACTCTGTCCTTTGTGCTGCAGATGGAAAAGGTCTCGGTGAAGATTTCCCAAACCAGACAGAAGTGGCTTTGATATATCAGTCAGCAGCCTGGATTTTAGCTGGTATACTGCTGGCCATTGTCATATTCCTTCTAGTTGCTCTTCTGATCAACAAGAAGAAGAAATTGGTTCTTTTGTCTTGTTACAATGCACCAAAAAAGGTAGGACTACAAAGAGGAACAATACAGTGAAACAGCAGAGAGCATTGTTGCTGGTAATACTGTATACACTGGATGCTGTATATTAAAAGAACATTGTGCAGTGTTTATTTTCGGCATTGCAGAAAAGTCTTTATATCATCAGAAATAAATATAAACATATTCACAGCAATTCCAAATTATATGCAGCATTGTTGTGCAGTTTTACACATTTCAGAGACAAACATTACATTACAAGAGTTATATGCATCAACAGTTTACTCAAAGGCTCCACTAGTATTTTTACTGTTACAACAGCTTTGACTGTAAGTGAAGTAATAAGTTTCTTCTGTCTTTCCAGACAGTCATTCTGAAAAAGCATGTGAATACGAATGCTGTGGTTTACATGGAGCCCTCAAAGGAAAACAAATTTCAAAACGTCAGGAGTGACTGCACAGTCAGCTTCACAGCAGAAGGCAGCTCTTCCAATGGTGATAGATACATCATCCCTAGAGCGAAAGTGAACAACAAGCAGAGTCGACTGTTGGGTTAGAGCTATGATACTAAGAAAACTCCTTGGGAACGAATAGGTTTCCTACATTTCTACAATGATTGTTAAAAAGCATACCTTGGAAGTGAGTCTTTGATAAAACAGATGAAGATTGTCAGCCTGAAATGCAAGATGGAACACTTCACAGCTGTGACATTTCCGTGAATTTTAAAGCTTTAAAATGTCCCATTATTTTATAAAAGGAAGAAGTAGCCATACTTGCTAAGCATTGTCTTATGCATCTCATGAGTTTTCTTTAAGAAATTAGCTCAGATGGCTTAAGGAGGTAAGCGCATATATAGATTAGTATATAGATGTAACCAGTTTGAAAAAACTGGAACACAGCAGAAATTAAAGTAATGCTTATGACAAATTAGTTACAACATATTTTCACTATTTTTAGTTTCTTACAGTTGAATCAGTCCTTAATTTCCTCTACCTAAAACATCCAGTTGTGATGTATCTATTCCATTTTCAATCTTTTTAAAATTTCACAGCTGACAGGACACAATGTTCTGGAATTAGCAAATAAATAAACAATGTAATGATAGCAGATGAGAAAAGAAACAGAATCATGAGAAGCCCATTAAATACTTCATAAGAGTAAGGGAATAGTTTACTTATGTAAACTGAACAAATTGTCGCATAAATCCATCCAGCTGTCAGAAATCTGCTTATACCTGGGGTCTTTTCTGGAGGCATAGAGCACCAGGGGACAGTTGTCGTTGAGCACACACACACACCCACACAGGCACAACTGAGTAGTTAAACTGGGTTCCACAGAAAACATGGGTGGAAGATGCTAACATATATGGCTGGCACATTTCTATAATTGCAATAGTGTGCACAGTTATACATAATAATGTTTTGTGTTTCCAGCTTTGTGAAAATATCCACGCTATTTTTAACAGGGCAAATAAAAATGTTGTGATTTTCAATTGCACAAGAGAATTGCAGAATTGGGAGAGAATGCAAAATTGTCACCCTAGTATAAATGATTGTTCTGATTTCAGTTGGACTATGCTTGCTTAGTGCAATAACTACTCTTATACAACTTGGAATAACAGAAATCAACTTTGCAACACAGTAAAGCTGGACTGAATAAGATGTAGATTGGCTATCAACAAAAAAATATTTACCATAGAGTCTGCTTATTATAAGTAATTTGATGCAATGTAATTTCTTAAATTGTGGTGAGAAAAATTCACTAGAATGGATTGGGCTTTATTAGTATGTTGAAAATCCATATACAGTATATTATAAAGTTAAATTACACTGGAGAACTGGTGCAGTATGTTTGTTCTCAATCATAGAGTTAAGCCTAAATTACACCAAACCTTCAGCTCCTTTGCCAACCAAGTACATTTAGAAGCATCTTGTATCAACATAATGGAAAACCACCATCACTAAAAGCTTTTAGTCAATGTAATTCTGCATTCAGCTAGTTGAGCAATGTCTAAGAAGTACTGTTTTGCATTTGAGTTAGCAGTCCCAAAATGTGACGTGTAAAGTACATTAGATTGTCTCCCCCATAAAACAGTAATAATAAGTGAAAGACTCATTTGGCATTATTAATTTGAGGATGAGTCATAGAGTTAAACAGATTACCTTCATGAAAAAAGCTTATGATGCATGATCTGTTTTAAGATGATTATTTTTCATGAACTAAATTTTATCTCAATCTTATTAATTTTTCAACTTCATCGGTGCCAACTTGTATTTTTGTTTTTAAAGAAAACAGTAAATTACTCTGAGGGCTTAAATGAAAGAACCTATGAAACATGCATTAAAAGTGGTTTGCTAATCTCCAATTTAGTTTAAAAATCAAAAGGCAGCACTCTCAAGTAAAACTGAGTGCAGAAATGGGGCCCAGTGATAAACACACTGGACCACACATGGTGTACTTCAAACTGATGCAATCAAGTTTAGGTTAAGGAAACTCTGCTTCATATAAAAGGCATCTTATCTGTATGTCTTAGGTTCCTCAATTAACATGTAATAATGTATTAAAAGACAAACCTGCAGTAAAAAGCAAGGGTAAACTTTTACCTAGAAGGCTGAAAATTGATTTATTTTCTGCGATTACTATAAAGAAACCCAGAACAGAAGATTTTTAGCTATTCTTAGTCTTTTAAGTTTGGAGGCTCATCTCATTGAATAACACATTGATTTGCCAATGTGTTGAAAACTTTCACAGAAGGACTATTTCTGTGAAAGTAGTCAGTGCATGGAAACACTGTTGACTGCTAAATTTGTTTCTTCTTCATTTCTTCTTCATTAGTCTTTAAATGGGCTATATTCAGTTCTTGCTGGCTTAGATTAGTAAAAATACCCCTTTTCTTTTTTCCTTAATCATAGCTGGCTTCAGGATTATTTATACATCTTGATAAAGTACTTTATATCTAACTTCCATTTTTCTGTATTTCTGCCATGATTAAAATGTTTGGAATGACTTGAAGCAGACACAGTGCAGACAGTTACTGTACAGGAGATAATGAAAAGAAAACGTCCTTTTATAAAATGCTATCAATGCACAGTGGTAATGTATTTAGTTACTATGGTATAATGATTGATATTATTTAACATATTGTAAAGCATTTTGAAACTCCTGTGGGGTAGGGCTCTTACTTTTTCTGTTTCAATGCTTTTCCCATATGAGAGTCTGTACTTCAATCATAACCTTTAAATAAGCCTTCCATTGTTTTTTGTGTAAAGGTTAAAAGGTTACAAAGAACAAATTGTATCAGTAACAACCTATCCACAACCAGCAGCTAACCAAATATTACACACAAAAAGGAGTTGACTTTTGCTTGCATGAACTGAGCCTCAATCTCAAACCTATAATTTCTAATTACTTAGAAATCTCTAAACTCTGAGGTCTAAGCATACAGAATTCCTTGTTCAGCTATAATGCTTATCCATCTAAGTTTCTTCATTTTATTTAAGCTAGCTTTAAATGTCTGCATCTGATTAAATCCAAGTAGATGTTTCTTCCCAAAATGCAATACCAGGGGAGGCACAACATTCATAACAATTAAATGTCCTAGTAAAACTGATATTAAAAACAAAATCCTTCACAATTAATATGACCAGACCCAGACCCACGATGATAGCTATTAAAAGGAAAAAAGCCTCTGGCACCTCAGAGGAATTTGCGATGGACAATGTACAATGCACAATGCATTATAGTGAACAGAGCTGTGAAATATTGTTATTTTTTTAAAATGAAGTTTTAAAATTTTTGAAGAATGTGTATTTATCAATGGCGCTTGTACTGCTTATGATCCTCCTTAGTTTGTGTATTACAAAGAAATTGCAGGTTTTCAAAACTGAAGAAAATCATTGTGTTTTTTAATTTGATATAATGTGCCTTCATTTAAAGGGGTTTTATTTTCCATACCCTGCTGTTTCAGTCCTGCAAACAGTAAACTATGTTGCTCTTATGCACCTATCATACGTCTCAAAACTGCTTGAGGGGATGACTATGCTTAAAATCGCTTATTAGCTATATTTTTTTGTGAAAACTGTTTCAGTGATGCATTACAGAAGTGTTAAACTGGCGGTGGGATCTGTCTTTAACAGAAGAAGATATTGTAGTGTCTGTCTCTGAAGTTCAAAATATAACACAGGACTACACATACTGTACTACACAGGAATTTGTGTATCATTTTTTAATGTTAACAGAAAACAGATATGGGTCAATTCAGTTTTTCTACAAACACATGCTTTAAGAGAACAGGCTACCTTTAAAAGCTTTTGCTGTTGCAATTCCGAAGTGTAAAAAATGGTAGTCTAAAGTAGATGAAAAAGAGTACCTTATTTATTTTTTCACATAGCTTTATTTATTAATACTATAGTATCAGAAGCTAATGATTGTTTGACTAGTTAAAAGGTGGTAGCCAATGCTGCTGTATATTTCTAGAATTTTTAACTTCTTATTTTGTCTGCTTTATTACCCAGAAAATGTAAAAGTGGCTTATTTATTTCCCCAATTGCAAACTATGTAAATATGCAATTCTTAGATATTTGTAACATTTACTGCTTTTTTTCCCTTCTTGAAAAATAAACTGTGTGAACAAAACACTAGACTACAGAATTTTTAGTGTCTGCAGAAATGATAAATTTGAAACTGGCTCTACCTGCAGATATTTGACGACAAGACTGCTATGGTAGCCTCACAATCCTGGTACTACATTTAAGAAAATTCTATGTTTCAGCCTTCCCTATTATCAACTATATTTATCTTCTATGAATATCTAACCTCTGAGCCCAGAGAAAAATAAGTCCTGGATATAATTTAGAAAATTCTTTATAGCCCATAACAGGACACCGACATTGTGGTCAATTTCATGGTACCTTTGGGAGAAATGCTGTTTTGTTATTGCATATAAGTTTATTAACCAATTGAACCACTAACTGAACAAATGGTAATTTAATAATTTAATCAATAATTTGATGTTTATCTTCCATTTTCTGCATTGTAGGAATATGCTACTTTTTAACAAATGTACAAAATAAAAAGGTTATCGTAAACCAAAGTTTAATTAGATAAAACGAGGACTCTGAAGCTCTACCTTAAGGTTAATATCTCAAGCAACCAATAAAAATTAAGTAATGTTACTAAACTGCTTTTAAATCTATTCAGTAATATTAATAAGAGGAATGGAAAAAAATACACCACAAAAGGTAAAATAGAGTATGTTTTAATATGACACATCACCAAGATCACCTTTTATATAAAACTAGTCTCTTAAATACAGTATAACAATACAAATCTGACGTGATGTATTTTTCATTCTTCAGATGATCTAATCACTGAACATTTTAATGATACATAATCAATTTAAAAAAAATTACATGCCTGCTACCTTACAGCAAAACAGGCAGAAACTAGACCTGTAAACTCTTCCATCTTTTTCCTATCACATTGAAAAAATGTTATTTTGAGCCTTATTATTAAATGCATACTGCTTTTTCACAGATAACTTTTTAAACTGCAGTTATAATATGGTACAAGGAAATGCACCTAAAGCAAAAATCCAGTTTCCAAAACAGATATGACACTTTTGTGTGCACCTTAATCTTGACCCTCAAAGGAAAATCTTGTAGTAGTCTTCTTTGTAGCTATATAAAACAAGAACAGCAACCCTGAAATGATAAAAGAAATTACTAGTCCATATATTTTGCAGATGAAATTGAAGTTGATGCATTAAAGAAAAGAATCTCAATGTGAGCTTTATATAATAAGAATTTATTTAATTACATATAGATACCTCAGCACTCAGTTAAATCATTAAATGATAATTTTATTAATTTCTTCTTTATGAAACCATATTTTCATTTAAAGTTGTGGGCTGTTTACCGGATCAGATTATTAAGAAATTGACAGAAAAAAGATCTGAAAACAACTCCTTAAAAAGTAAGTTAAATGATTACAATGAAATTTACATTTCTAAAAATGCATCACTTTCATAAATCCACTTCACAATTGGTATGGCACTCAGCAGCTGGTCTCTTATGACACTGGTGGCTTTTGGCTCTGCAGTCAGATTTCTGAGGCCCACTTCAGAAGAACAGTAGATAAACCACAGAGTTAACTTATTGACAAAAACGAATTTAACTGTTTAATCAAAAAGTATAGTGTCACTTCGAACCATGAGAACTTTTTCTGTAACCAACTTCTACCTTGAGTTGGAGCAAATATTTCCCATTAAAAACAGCAGCTCACTGTTAAAAGAAGAAGTAGAATTCTATACAAATCCCAAATTTTGTTATTTGCCTAGAGGTTCACTACTTTTAATAAAAAAGGATCATTTTAATTGAATGTAAATAGGGATAACAGATGGAAAACTCCATGGGAGGGCAGTCTAAGCAGTTTTGTAAAGACTAAATCAATCTTGAACACTACAAAGCATATTTATGTAACATTACTTTTATTTTGAACACATACCTTTTAACAAGTTTGAAATGATGGATTTCCTCACAGATAGATTTTAAATAGCGCTGCTTTGGATGTCGAGATAGCAACTGCTTGACACTGGCATTAAACATCTGCTCATCCCCATCACACTGAAACACAGAAAACATAATGTATATGAGGGCTGTAGAAACAATTATGAAAAAAATTATATATGAAACATCATGCAAAATATACAGAAAATGTTGTTACCCAGGTGTACAATTAATTTCCACTGGATTAATTATCAATCTAAGCCACACGAAGCAAGAAATGCCTTGCACCTAAAAAATGTCTTCTATGCACTGTTTAATGTGTTGAAGACATTTTTTAATGAAATCGTTTTTTTTCATTTGCTGTGCTGTCATTTATTCTGATCTTTCAGTGGGACTCAATTCACTTTTCACACACTACTTCACCTACATTTTATTTGTTTGCAGTAATACAACTCAGAAACGCATTACAGTTTGGTCATTAGTCTGTTGAATTCTAAAGTTTTGAGACCTCTATGTTATTCAGAATGTTAATTATTTCTTTAACATGTTATAATCCTTATCATTCTATCTACAAAGCTGCATCAGCTAATATGGTTTAATGAATGAACACTTGCTGTAAGGTGCCAGAGGAATTCTTACAGTATCTTGTCTTTTAAAGCACACCAGTCTCTAAATATTTAACTTTTTCTTTGGGTAATAATATTAAATACAAAGTAATATCTGTAGTTAAGGTGATTAAAGGAACACATTTTACACCAGGCACTTATTACACAATACTGTAGGTAAGGTGGAAAATGGACTAAATAACTTAAAATACAAAGGGAAGGCACTGGCCTGTCGTGAAACAAAAGCCTTTTTAGGAGTTCAGCCATGATACCAATCACAGAACTTATGCCGTAAAAAAGAGCTATGGGGTCTTTTTCGGTTATTAAAAGTCAACACCTCCCACAGCAGTATGTGAAGTGAGAACACTTTCTTCAGTTTTGCAAATTGTCATCTGGACAGGAAATGTCATGTTTACCCTCAGAATACTTCACTTCTCACTTCAGGTGATTGTTCTAACACCAACCTGCTGAAAACCTGAGTGTTTTTCTTTTTTGGCTCCAACCAAGACTTTTAGCTTGGTGCAAGACTGATCTATGACTCACCTTGTAAAGTTCCAAAGTCTGCTCCAACCTGCTGAAAACCTGGATTTGAATTTAATATTTTATATACACAAGAAAAAAAAATACTAACCTCCAGTGACAAGCAGCTAATTAGAATTTCCCTGGGCAGCTCAACCTGCAATAAAGAATGCATACAAGAGACTTTAGGTGGCTGAATACAAGGTTTCTAACATTTCTCACAAGAAAAGTAAATTCTCCTCTGATGAGTGGGCAATATTTTCATTTTCTGTTTGGCCCATGTTTTGAGGCACAATTCAACTTGATTATTATTTCTGAGACAGATGAAACTGCATAAAAAATGCTTCCCTCCTTTAACAAACATAAAAGTATCAGGCTGAAGTAATGGTTGCATCATGCTTGAAAATAATTCAAGTAAGCAATAACAAAGACAAATAAACTAAATTCAAATTTTGTAATTAAATTTATAGAGAGCAGAGCAACAAACTTTGTTTCTAGTTTTCCACCAAAAATACTATTAGACATAAGATAAACAGGCTGATAAGGTAAACATAAAACAGAATCAAACACTGAATTTGTCTGTTTATTCCTCTGTAGTAACTGGAGTCAGATTTTAGTTATTTAACATGGGGAAAGATTTTGAAATCCCTTAGCAATTCAAAGTGCCAGAAAATACAAAAACGACTTCTCTTTTTTTATAAATGTGTTTTCTTAGCTGTACTTCTTATTTAATGATTACACGCATGAATTAAAGCAAAAAAGTAAATATTACACAATGATTCACTCACAGCTAAAACTTCAATATCATTGTTCTTGTTTTGCAAATTGCTGGCAAGATTCTGCAGTCTGGTTTGTATCTGAAAAAAAATAAAACGGCTCTCATGAGAACAGAAGATTCTGGAATATAAAAACTTTAAAAAGATTTAATTTCAAATTTTTTGTATCATGATCTACACTAAGCAAGTTAAGCACCAGCAGCATGATGACATAATGTTATCATCAGCTTTAAAAGGCAAAAATGAATGCCATAGTCAGCAGGCTTCAAAGTGGCACAGCTAAGTGAGTAATGTATCTATAAAGTTCAGTGTAATGTTACTCTGCAGTAATTAGGTTTAAAAAACAGACTTTTAAAACCTTAACTAAACTTTCTGATCATTATTCTTTTTTAGCTATAGCACATATAAACTATGAATCCTCACCAATATTGCAGATTTCATTATATTATGACATTTCTGCTAAAATGATGTAAATCAGAAGAAAGGCATGCAATGTTCAACATGTCATTCATTTGCTATTACTTTTCATCTTGTTAGAGAATGCACTTGCAGCATTTGTAAATACACCGATAAAGAGAACAAAAAACACAAATATCTCAAAACCTTGTGGGGTTTAAGTGTGAAATAACACTACTCTCTGAGGCTAGTGGTCACTTTCACTTCTGAAACCAGACCAGGCTGTTCCATTTGGGACAAGTGTCGGCATAGCACTTTGGTGATAATGTCAACCTTTACCTGCAAGTTAATTATTGAGCAATAATTCACGAAACCATTCAAAGAATAAAGTAAAAAAATCAGAAACCCAAAATCAAAAGATGGATGGAAAGAGAGTGTCAACCTGTGTTTCATAACGCCGTCTTGTGCTGGCGGAAATTTTCTCTGGAGAGATGACATTCACATTCAGCATTGTATTGCTCCCATGTGGCTCGGACGATCCTACAGAAGTGGATTTTTCAAACATATTTATACATTAAAAACCAAGTAGTTTTATCTCTAATGTTGCAATGGATTGGAAAATTGATTATTTTTATACAGTATGAGACTTATGAGCCGAGTTGGCATATTTTACATCTGGGAGTTAAGAGATGCTGTCAGAACAATTTCACAACCAACTATCAAACCCTAATATTACCACAGACATACTTGAAGGAGTAAAGAAATAGAAATATAATGATAATAAAATTGATGGATGTGTGCATTGCATAAAGTATAAAGATAATAATGGTCCACTAATTAAGTATTCCATTTGAAAAACGTTTTTCACAGTCCCAAGTTTACAGCTCCTCCAAATTAAGTCTATGGTTACGTTCAACCTTGGCTCCAATTTATTGTGCAGTAAACAGCACTTCCTGGGGGACAGTTCTCAGAATGGTTCCTTGCTATTAAACCAAGTAACAAAATCTCTAAACAGATGGGAACTTTTAGTGCCTGTTAAAGCAACTGCAGTGACTCAGCAACTGAAAAAGGTGCTGATTGACAGGACATATTTTCTACATTTAACCTCCTACAGTCACACCTTTTACTGGCCTAGTGCATGTGTCCCAAGAAAATGCTCTTGATTCTAAATTACAACTCAAAAGTACACTTTCAGGACAAAGAACGTTAGTTCAAGATTTCAACTTTACAAAACGGAGAGCCATCCTCAATATAAGGAACAGATTTTAATTTATCAGTGCATTTCTGTTATCTTTTCTTTAACATTCTGATACATATATTAAAATGCCTACTTAAAAACCATGCAACACAGTGAATCCTTAAACAAAGCTCATAAATACAACATATTTTTAAGACATTTGTGCTTTAACAGAAAGAACATTTAACATCTCTTCAGAGGTAAATAATTAGGTTACACAATGGACCACAAAAGCATGTCATGCAGACACCCTACCTGAAGTAACCAAAAGTGATCCCTTGGGGTTCTGAAGTAAACCACTTTCAGAGTTTTCTCTGTAAAGTACAATATGAAAGAATTACTGAAATGAACAGACATAACTGTATGTGAAGCTACCTTTGATAACTCTCACTTACATGCAAGGCAAATACTTTTCAGTAACTTTTTTTAGATCATTAGCACTTGTTTTACAGTGACTTAAAACATCTAGGTCCATTGCCTCAAAGGTTTCTGAATGACATTTAAGCCTTCTATCTGTTATGGAGCTGAAATGTGATCAGGAAATACTACAAAAACAGTATGGAAAAATATAAAAATCAGATTACAAATGACAATTTATTTTAAGATAAAATGCTTGGAATTCCATGTGTTCAAATATACAATAACAAGGGATGATCCACTTAATGGTGGGTTTGTTTGCATAAAGTGAGAATCTAAATGCAAGAAAACAAGAACTTGAAATCTTCAATAAATATTAAGTTTTAAATGTGAAAATGGGACTCCCCCAGTTTTGTATTCTGTATAAAATGTTCTGTAACTTACATGATATCTTTAAGTAGAAATAAAAAATAACTTTAGCATGAGTTCTGTCACCTGGTACTCCTCTCGTCATTCAATTTGGTCCGACATTTCTGAATGATGTGATCTACCAAGTCCGTCTCTGGAATTCGTTTTTCTGATTGCCTGTCCTTTTCAAATGATTTGACCTATGAAAAAAGAGTAAGATAAAACATTGTGTGCTTAATCTTTTCTCCACAAAGTGCCTCCCACTTTCAAAATATTTTACTGGCCATACTCATTTACAATCTTGAGTTTTATATCATTTCATAAATGGAGGAGGTATCTAAAATAGGCTCTCTTCCTTTTTCAAGGAATATCCTCAAGATTAGGAGGTCAAAGGTAAGTAATGAATTTCAGAGCAGACATTCAAAGCCCAACAACAACATGTAAGGATTCTCTTATCCACATTAAATCCATGTTAAAATTAAGCCATGCAAACATTACATGTTTATGAGTGTGATTACAAATATTAAACATTTTTAGTTGTGGGAGAGGGTTTTTTCAAATAAAGCCAAACAATAAGATCACATATGTAACATCAGGACTTGGAAATTACTTCTAAGCATTCCATGATTTGAAAAGAACTTTATGGTTTGGCAAACAATGATGCAATAAAGCAAATGTAGAATATTTTAATAACTTTCTGGCCTCAGAATTTCAATGCTAACTGACACCTATTTCCTCATGCTTTAAAAATCTTTTTTTTAACTAAAATTATGATTACCTTGATGTAGTTTCCTTCTTTGTCAGAAACAAGTGCAATGCAGGCGATTCCAGCTTGTCTGCAATGTTCCTGAACAGTTTCTTGAGACTATCGAAAGAAACAGAAAAGCACAAGAAGTGTACCAAGAAACACACATTATCATAATGATGGTTTCTTCAATTCTCTGAATTTTCAGGAGATTTGCTGTCCACCTGACTTTGTTGGACCCCACCGAGATGGCTCTCCAAATAGCTTGTGTTTGTTGCACTATACATGAAGCCATTGACAGGCCCTTCTCCTACATTAACTAAAGGAGATATCATGGAATAGTGGAATACTTGGGGGCTCTGGACCCATGCCAAAATATTTTAGTTTCATGTTCCAAATGTAGACATTGCTCTTGCATCCCTGAGCTCACCTGATCCAGTCCAACCATGTGTAAATGTATAAATGGTTACCAGCTTTGCTGGGGGTGAGAGGAGTGATGGAACAGAGCCCCTTCCAGGGGGTGTCTTCTACAGACACAGAAAGTAGAATATGCTCCAGCCCAATAAACCTTTAATTTGTGATGAATCTTATGCTTTACTTTTAAATCAACAATATCTGTATCTCAGTAATACAAGTATGCTTGCATAGTATACTTTACAAGAGAAATCCTAGTTAATGTACTGTAACACTGAATTATATTTTAACAAATGTCAATCACTGCTAGCACTCAAAGGCTACATTTCATTTAATTTGGAAGTGACAGAGCACCTATACATTTGGAGTGAACCTCCAGAAGTACACATAAATGTTTCAAGTTGTGGCAGTAATAAAATGGTTATTCATTCACCCCTAAACTTTGATGGCTTCACAAATACGATTTGCGGTACGTCTTCAACCAACTTATAAAAAAACAAATGTAAGAACTTGTTTACTAACTGCCTTAATGCAGGAAATTGACCTTTTTAGCCAGGGCGGAACAGCAACAGAAATTTCCTTTAAACAGATTACTGGTATACATACATCCAGACCACTGTTCTAAAAATGCATAAGGGAGTACCAGTAAAATCTAGTCAAACCCAAAAGTTTACCCGTTATACTGTAGATGACATGAAAGTGAACAGTGTGGTTAGGAGAAAGTAATGTAATGGCAAACTAATATGAAAGAAAAATGAGATATCACTAAACATCAGTCAAATGCCAAGCTAACTTTATTTCACAAATAAGAAGCCCACTGAGACGTTCTGGTGAGGTATTCCTTTATCATTATACCTCAATATAAAATTACTGTACAATGTGTAACATTTTATAAACCTTAAAAAGACATTAAATTAAGAAATCTGAAAACACTTAATCAATGTACCAGATTTGGGTGCCTCTCTGACCGATTATCTCAACCTTATTCTTAAGGAATGAGAGAGAAGCTTGTGCTTACAATACTGCAACACCTATTGATTTTCACATAGCTTCCACTTGCCAACTGTTATATGCTGCTTAATGAAAATATGTATTTCTTTAAGACTTCAAATACCTGAATCCTGACCAGGTTTTTGCTGAATGCTTTATGGTAGCATATGGAAGCACGGCCAAATTTGGGTAGCAAAATTTACAAAAATGGAATGCTCTGGAGTCTGAGTTATCCCTTACTGGATTTTTTAACTGTAAACCAGGACATGTGCAAGGTGTTAACAATGAACATCTTAAAATGGAACAGTATTGGGCATCTGAACAATGGTGGTTGCTATAAACCTTTTTTGCTTATTGATCATGCAGTGTAACAAGCTTGTGAATGATGGGTCCTACAGTTTCAAGTTATAACTGTAGAAACAGAAGAAACTAGCTCTCTTGAAATTTCAGGGCTTGAGGGGGATATAACTTTTGGCAATTCAGAAAGTCCAAACTGAAGCTAGTGAGAGAGGCCAAAGAAAGGAGAGCTCCCTACTGTAAGTGCTGCCAATATCTGGGAGAAGCACAAATCCAACTTATAAGTGCTGTGTTACAGAAAAAACTTCAGAGACACACAAAGAACGTGACAGCAGTGAAAAATACAACAAGATAATCCGGCTCATGACATTACATGACAATATTATCAAAAAAGGAACTGCCTACTCTTTGAATATTAGACACTACAAGCACCTGATATTGTGGTAATTCACAAAAAATGTGTCTGAACTCAAATTTAGATTTGATAAAAATTTTGTGCTGAAAAGAATATCGGTCACATACAGTAGTGTATCATTGGTATTGTTCTTGCAATTGCAAAGTGAATTAAATAACTGAAGACACAGGATGCTAATACCTCTGTGTGTGCCTCTACAGACATCAATGGACTTATACACTTAAGTAGCTATGTATTTTATTTTAGGTAATTAAATGATCATCAGTTGAATGCATATGTTCAAAATGGGATGTCACTATGCCATCAGTGTGATCTAAATTATTTAAAGCAGATGGGGATAAGAACTTCTAATACACTTTAACTGCTCATGTTATCCATTGAGATAAGTAACCCCCAACTAAGTGGAGACAGCCAAGTGCTCTGACACTTTGGACTCTGGAACTCGGGGTCAGCACAGGTGACAAATTACAGAAAGTGGAGAACAGAAAGGAATAAGAGAAGAAAATGAAAAGAAGAAAGACAGGAGCGAGAAAGTTTCAGCACTTAAATATCTTCACCAGCTGGATTTCTCACTGTTGAACAAAAACTTATCAGGTACATCGAATTGGAGGAACTCAAATCAATTTTGCAGAAAAGGAGCCAAATTAGTTACACTTGTGGAAGTATTATTTCTGTTGTTACCAGGCAAAGATTGTCATTCTTATTTATATTTGGGTGTAATTTTGCACAGGGACTGATAGTTGTCTTCTTCTAGCATTAGTCTAAATTTAGGTTTAGCTGGAAGATTTATTTTCAGGAAATAACCTTATTTTTTCCAGATAAAGATTTGTGGCTACGTCTGACTTTATTATGGTTTAATCAGAATAATTAAGGCTGTGAAAGCCTGTTAAAATATTTGAGCTCAGGAACTAGTATAAACAGTTCATGTTTGACTTTAATAAATCCTTGTTTTATTAAACTACTGCCTGATTATTTCACACAAAGAAATAAAGAAACTATAGACCTAGCTCTGTATTCTTGAACTATATGAAATTATTTGGCTTTTAGAATTCTTTGTATTTTTGGTGTGTGAACTGACTATTGTTTAGCAACTATCAGTAAAACCCTTACTACTGCTAACCCCCATACAATACGCTACACGTAAAAATAAATTAAAAGTGTTTCAGAAATGGGGTGTCTCTGTATCTATTTTTGTAATACACAATATTTTGTAATGTTTCCTCATGTATCACTTAAATGCTCCTAAAAACATAGGTTAATAAAACTGCCAGAAAACATCAGCAATGACCAAATTTCACTGGACGTTACATCTGTTCTTGTTTTGTTGCGAAAGTTTCCAAACCTGATCTATTGCTCTGTTTAGAAAATTATATTACTATGTTTCTAGCATTTTCAAACTATGCTTTATTTTTATAGTGAAATTGATATCTAAGCAGCACTGGCTGTGTACCATGTTCTGGATGAGTGAAAAGGTAAAATATCTCCATCTACAGATAGGAAACTGTTATTACAGTTAATGCAAATTACACTTCAAAGATACATATAATATAAACCCTGCTGAGTGTAATAAATCATATTCCTCCATTTAAAAAACAGAACTGTTTTATTTTATTACATCACACCCTAGGTGTAAGCATGCAGGAACAAGTAAAACAATACAGAAATGAAAAAAGGACCTCTGGCTAAAAACTAAAGAGGTTATGTATAAAAATGTTACATACACACAAGTATATATCCTATTAAAGGTTACTGCAGCAGATAGGTTTAAATACCTTTAAACAATTACTAACCTGTGAGGCATCATATACTATATTCGCTGATACCCCAGCACTCCACAGCTTCTGAATGACGTTGATAGCTCTCACCATTGATGTCTGGCCAACTGGCACCACCAGCACATCGCAGGAGCTTACTAAAAGCTAGGTAAAAGAAAGCTTTTAAGATTAGCAATTCTTATTCACATAAATGTATTAAGTAATTAATTAACATCACAGACTCCTGACATGCACGAGTACGTTTAAGGAAAGATTTGTCACTACACTACAAAACATTCATTGTTCTTTTACGTTTCTAACAAATATAGTTTTGTTTTATGTTTATTTACAGCAATGCACTTACACAAAAAGAATTTACCATATCCTGGCCTGTGGAACAAGTAACACGAGCCTCCAAACTTGAATCACATAATCGGCATCTAATGGTTTAATGCATTGTGGTGTCCAATAAACCATTTTTTCCCCTCAGTTCCTTTCTTAATCCTCAGACCGATTTTAACTCACTGTTGTCAGTTTTAGCTTCCTGGAGGGAAATCAAGCTGACGGGTCCCATATTTTGCATGCTTAGCTAGATAGCTGACCACAAACCTGCTGGCAGATGTCTGCAAGCTACCAAGGCTTGAAGACTGAGCTCAACTCTGGAGCCAGAGTAGACTTGAACAGTACAAGCAGTTCATTCATCGGCAAATTCATGTAATGGTATTTTTTTCCTAAAGGCAGTAAGTTACACAATCAGAGGAAATGAAGGAAAGCTTTATCAAACGGGTGACTGGCACTTTACATTTGACAAACTTTATACAGGAAACATCAAATACGTCAAACAGAATATCAGCAATAATGTAAAATGGCAGGTTATCTTACAGGTTCTTCCATGTTGGTCAGGGCTGTGCAGACCTTATCCAGAGCAAGGCTGGCCCCCACAGCAGAGAGGGTTGGTGCAGAGGACTCTGGCCCTCGGAACTCTGAAATCTAAAGTGAGATTTTAATCAATACCAAGTCAAAAACATAACTTTTATCAAATCACTGTGAACAAATCTTTTTTTGTTTGTCTCATCTGAATTTTGTTTTCCCCAAATAAAATTGATCGTAATTTCCTAACACAACTTGAAACCTCTCTCCCTTTTACACTGACTTGTTGTAACATCACCATCACTCACTGGAAAGACTTCTAAAGCCATCCTCAATGAGAAAAATAACTAACTAAAATTAACCACAAAACTACATACCAGATGATCATATCTCCCACCAGCTGCTACAATGTCCGGCACATTACGACGCTTGCGCCTGATAAAGGCCACGAACTGAAAGATGACTCCTCTGTGATGCTGAACTTTATAGACCAGACCAGGATTAATCACCACCTAAGGTGTGAAAAAAGACAAAAGACCAAGAACAAGATCATAAACTTCAACTTGAATGTACATCTTTCCATCTAAAATAAAGCTCCTTTTCTTTCTTCAAGTACATTTCAGGACATTTCTCTGTTCCTCACACAGATGTGTAACCCCTGAGCTACACCGGGCACTAACTTTGACTTTTAATTTCCCCAGAAGTGGCCTTTTTAATTCATTCACCCATGAGACCATTAGAACACGAAGCCCAGACAGACTTAATGAACCTGTAGTTTGACTCCCAGTTTCTTCAGCAGCTCTGTGACTTCCTCCAGGTCCTTCACACCCTGTTTGGTCAGCTGACTGACAGCAGTCTTCTGCTTTGTCAGGTTGGAGATCAAAGGATTTAGCTCTCTCAGCTCCCCTTTTTGCTCAATGTATTTGTACAACGTCTGTAACTGCAATGTCACAAACAGACAAATCAATAATGACAACGTTTTTGGCTTATGCTCACAGAATATTAAACATTATACATTTCATATTTTACAGTACTTCTCAGTTTCAGCCTTGAGTACTGATCTAACACATGCGTATGTCCTGGGGCTGAATCAGTCAAAGATGAAACTACGATTACAAATCATAAAGAAAAATGCTCAAATAAGCTCAAAATCTAAATACAAATCCACAATAATTTCATGAAATATAACAATAACAGAAAGAGGCATTTAGGCCAAAGTTTCTATGAGACAGAAACTTACACTATTTGTAGAAAGAGAAAGATTGCAAAATTTGGCTTCAACTTCACGTCGAGTCAACTTTTCACTCTGTAATGGAAAGCAAGGTGAAAGGTGTTATACTCAGCATAACATCCCTGGCTGAGCCGAATTCAGGATTTTCTCACATAAAATATCAGACAGCACAAATCTAGTTTTTCTTTGAGAAAAACCAGTTCCTGGGAGACAGCTGAATCTTGTCATTTTTTCTTCTAGTGTTTGACATAGGCACGTATGACAACGTATCTGTTCATATATGAATCAAGTATTAAAAGCTGTTTAGACAAATAAGGGTAAGCAAGTTGAGGAAAGGCTGTATGTTGAAGTTGATAGATATCGTACCCTTGAAGTAGGGGATTTCTGAAACTCTGGACTGATATAGAAACAAATTAACCAA